ACAATTATTTCTCATTTGCAAATATTTTTGCAATGTTTTTTTTCATTATTTTCTTCTTCTTTTTTCCTTCATCTCCATGTTGTTTCTTGAGTGTGTGTGCGTCTGTCCGTCTATCTGAGATGACAACAGGTTTTAGCCGGTTTATATTCAAATAAATACGAATAGCAGCATCAACAGCAATACCAGATATCTATCCGAGTATAATAATTATCACGTGAATTGCGAAAGAAAACATGTACAAATATTCGTGAGTAGGTATTTTTGTTTTTGTAGTTGGCTGTTAAATCCACCACTGTCCCTTTCTCTAAAACATGAACATAGTTTAAATGACAGTTACTTGTTATACGTCATTGTTTAGTTAAGGTCTTTTTCACGTTTGCTTTTGAATATCTTTTTAAAATTTAACTGATTCTCTGCTGTGTCACCGCTGTCTGTATGTCGTTGTTGTGTCAACTTGGCATCACTCTTTTTTTCTCTGTTTCATCTCTGATCAACACAACAGTAATGTAAATAAAAGGAAGTGTAAGGAAACATGTACAAATATTCGTGATTAATATATAACAGCTGTTAAATCTACTACTGTTACTGATGTATCTCCACCAACATACTTGACAATGTATGAAGTAAAAAAAAATCTACTACTGTCCCTTAGTCTAAAACATGGGCATCTTTGTTTTTTTTTTTTTAATTTAAATGACAACCAGTTGTTATATGTACGTCATTGTTTATTTAAGGACCTTTTTCATGTTTGCTTTTTTGAATGACTATTTTAAATTTAACGTCTCATTTCATATCTGATTCTCTGTTTTGTCACCACTCTCTGTAAGTCGTTGGAGTGTCAACCAGGGCTGCCAGATTTTTTTTTGGAAAAATCGTCAAAATGACGATTTTTTTATCAAAAATCGTCAAAAATTTAAATAGGTATTCAATTTATTAAACACGTTTTTTAAAGCTAATCAAGAAATTAATTTATTTTATAAATAAATATTTGAAAAGTCATTTCGACTTTAATAAAGTCATTCATTTTGAAAAGAAATATTTGTGTTAATCATTTTCAACATGTCGGTTTTAATTAACGCATCATAACAATTTGTTTGGTTAACTTTTAAATAATCTTTGGTATAAATTTCTCCATTGAATCCTTATTGGGGGAATTTCGACTTTTCGTTTTATTAAGATTTACTTGGCTGAAAACACGCTCAACATTTGCTGAGAAATGCGGTAATACAATTACCTTCCGTACAAATTTAGTTATTATAGGAAAAACATATGAACCATCACCACGTTTCAAATCAAATATTGCATTCCAAAAACGAAATAAATCGGTTTCATCATTTTCACAAATGTTATCAAAATCAAACAACTTTATTTCGCGAAATTCTGAATCCAATTTTTGTTTTTCATCTTCGTTCACAAAATGTGGAAATTCTTTAAGTATATCGAAAAATGAATTATTCTTTTCATTACTAATATACGTGGGACTTATCATAGATACAATTTTGCTTTCAAATCGAATCTTTTTAAAATTGTAATAACTTTGTATAAATTGAAACTTAAATTTAATATAACAACGTTTCCGTTCACCAATTTTCTTCAATTTGCCCGTGTCAAAAAACAACAACCGTTAACTTTTATTTGTTTTGTTGCTGTCTACCCAGAGAACGGCACAGCTGATTGGTAGTTTTTCATCTATCTGGGTAAACATAAACTGTTGTTGGCTTTGTAACAGTACAAAGTATACCTCACACACATATGCCAAATATTCAAATTCTTTTTACTTTTTCTTTCGCTTTATACATTTTTGATGTTGCCATAACAAAAAGAACCCAAATATTGCGATATTACTAAAATGACCAAAAATCGTCATTTTTTGGGCAAAAATCGTCAAATCGTCATTTTTATATTTTTGACCAAAAAATCGTCAAAATGACGATAAATCGTCAAATCTGGCAGCCCTGGTGTCAACTTGGCATCAGTCCTTTTTTCTCTCTGTTCCATCTCTGCTCAACACAACAGTAATGTAAACAAATGGTAGTGAACGACGACAACAGTATGTGTTGTGTTAAAGGGGTTGTTTAGACTATGTGATTTGTGTTGAGAGTATGGGAGAAAAGGATATTGAGTAATTAATAGGGGAATTTTGATTATTATTGGAATTTAATAGAATTTTAATATAATTCGAAATTAAATTAATGTGAAATGAGTAATTTTGCTTCTAAGAATACAATATAAACGTTATTGTGTCAAAAATACTTCTAGAAAAGTGAAATAAATAATAAAAAACCTTTGTGTATAACAGTACATTTTATGTTAATGAGGCTATTTAGACTATGCGATTTCTGTTTATAGAGTGTGGGAAAAAAGAAAATTGAGTACTTAAAGAGGGAATTATGAATATTAATGAAAATTTAGTAAACTTTGAAACTATATTAATGAGAAATGAGTAAGTTTGCTTCTATGGATACAGTATAAAGGTTATTGTGTCAAAAATACTTTTAGAAAACTGAAATAAACAATAAAATCATTTCCAATTTTATGACATTAAAAAGGCTCCAAAAAATGTGTGTATAACAGTACATGTTATGTTAAGGGACCGTTTAGACTATGTGATTTCTGTTGAGAGAGTCACTAATTAACTGAAATTAAACGAAAATGTTGAATTTTAATGGAAATAAATGAAATTTTAATTCAATTTGATACTGAATTATTGTGAAATGAGCATTTTCGCTTCCGAGGTTGGAAAATAAACATTTGTAAAATTTGATCAAATGCAAAATGAATAAAAGAATAAGAAAGTTTAATGCAAAGAGAATAAAGCATGGAAACAAATTAATTTAACTTTTTCGCAAAATTCTTTTTCACAAAATTTTTTTCAAAATATGACCTTATTTTGACTAAAGTTATTTTGACCTAAACATCTACGCTAATTGTCCTGAAAAAATAATATTTAAAAATCCACGCTTATTGTTCTGAAAAATAATATTTAAAGACCTACGACCTATTCTTTAAAAATCCACGCATATAAACCTGAACTCAGGCTAGACCTGAAAATAGCCTTAATAAAATAGAACTTTTTACCGGGCTTTATGAGGATTTATTTGACATATATGCATATATTCTAAGTGTAAACGTACTGTTACAAATATTCTTTAAAAACCCCATGCCTATAGACCTGGAAATAGTATTAAAAATATTATTTAAAAATCCACGCCTATAGATCTGGAAATAGGCTTACAAATATTCTTCTGAAATCCACGCTTAAAGACGTGGATATAGGCTTCCAAATATTCTTTTGAAATTCACGTCTATAGACCTGAAAATATGCTTTAAAATACGCTTACAACATACACGCTTATATACCTGAAAATAGGCTTTAAAATAAACTTTCAATATACACGCTTATATACCTAAAATAGGCTTTAAAATATCCACGCTTATAGACCTGAAAATAGGCTTTAAAATATCCACGCTTATATACCTGAAAATAGGCTTTAAAATATCCACGCTTATATACCTGAAAATAGGCTTTAAAAAATCCACGCTTATAGTCCTTAAAATAGGCTTTAAAATATTCACGCTTATAGACCTAAAAATAGTCTTTAAAATATACACGTTTATATACCTGAAAATGGGCCTCTTCAAATCGACATTTCTATACCTAAAAAATTTGCTCGAAAAATTCACGCTTATAGCCTCGTTTCTCGTTTTGTTTTTAATATTTATTTCAATCAAAAAAGTTAATTTTAATATTCCCTCCATTTTCCCCATTTCTGTTACAAAAACAACTCCCCTTTTACACATCTCTGTATGATAACAACTCAACATCTCTGTTATCTCATTTTCGTTTTATCTCTCGCAACAGCAGCAGCAGGCAGTCATTTCCCAGTGAATTCCAACGATTTAAGAAGAAGTGTCATTCGTTAGTTTTTTTCTTGTTGTTAAAGGTGAAGGGTTTTTTGTTTTGGTTTCGGATCGAATCGAATACAATTGTTTTGCAAAAAAAGAAATAAAAAATAATTGGGCGAAAAAAATTAGAACAATTAAAACGTATATTAGTTATTACATAAAAAATAATACATTATTGTGTTTTTTAACAAAAGAAATAATTGTATTAATTATAAAAAATATATCCCATTGATGATTGTTGGTGATTGAGTGAGGAAGGAGAGAGTGTAGCAACAACAACAACATTAAGTGGGTTTCTGTGGAAAGTCAGTCAGTGAGTCTGTCTGTCAATCAGTCAATTGGTGTGTGTATGTGTTTAAAAAAAATATATTGTATTGTAAATTAAAACGTGTTTTTGTTGCTGTTACGGTTGCTGGTCAAAAGAGATTGGATTGTTGTTTTCTTTTATTTGGTAAAAGGTACTTGTGTAGTTATGTTTGTAAGAAAAGTGAATGTTGAAGGAGGGGAGGTGTTGGGGTTGAGGCAAAGAAGGGGGCTGGTTGTTGGGTGGCAGGCAGGTGTGTGTGTGTATGTTTGAAATTCCTGCCTTCTTTTTTTACATTGCATAAAACACAAGTTTACAATTGAAATACTACAGCTGACATACTGTCACTATGTGGATATGTATGTAGCAGTTTTTTGTGTTGGCTGGGCCACAAGTGTGTGCCAAGTTGACATTTTCAGTTTTTAGTGTAAATTTGTAACACTTTTAATAATACTAATAATTGCGCAGTCACACATGACGTCACATCGACATCGGCACAACGCACTCCTGCCCCGTGTCCATCATTCATGCCACCAAACGCAAACACCACACACTTTATTACATACACACAAAACATAAATAAATCTGAGTTTCGAAATTCCGTCTAGGAACTGATTAGTGGGGATTAAAACCACAATAATATTCTAGAGGTTTAGTAGATATTTTTTGAAACAAATTTCAGTGGCTTATTTCGTTTTATTTTCATATTTTATCTTATTTGCCATGATGATGTGATTTATTTATTAATATCGTTTTGTCATTAATTCTGTTCATTTGTTTTTCTTTACAGTTCCATGAAATTGTTCCCGATATGGATGATGATTTTGTCTTCAATGAAAAACAATCGATACGCGATTCTTCGCGTTCTCTAAAGAAATATGGCAGTACATGCTGTAATCAAAATATACGCAACAATGAAATTCTCGTCCGTCATGTTGTGGAGAAAACCGACACATTACAGGGTATTGCTCTGAAATATGGTTGCACTGTAAGTAATATATTGTTTAGCATTATAGAAAAAATCATTAATATATATGTATGTATGTTTGTGTCTCTTTTTGTTTCATTGTGCCGAGGCAAAAATACAAGATCGCTTCGATGATTGTGTGCACTTTTTTGTTATTACAAATCAGACGCACAAAGCAAAAAGAACAGGGTGCCGTACTGCCGCCGCCACAGCTACAATAACCCACTTTATAGCAACTTGATCAGTTCAGCATCATTTCATTGATGTGTTCGGTGTGCGGTCATTCACAGCCATTGACATTATCACATTTTTTTTGGGTTGAAGGAAATTCATTACAACACAACATCAGCATTTAATAGCATTTAATGATCAAGGATAACTGCCCAAAGAAATCCTTGTTAGGATAAGTTCAAATAATCTTAAAAAATCTACGCTTAAAGACCTGCAAAAATGTTTCAACTAAAACTTAAAATGCATCGTTAGTAGAGGCTTTCAAATATTCTATTGAAAAATCAGCGCTCATAGGCTTTCAAATATGCCTTAAAATCCATCGTTTATTGACCTCGAAAAAGGCGTTAAAATAATAAAATCCCCGGGATTGATAGGCTTTAAAATTAAAATAGTCTACACCTATACACTGCCAGGCTCCTAGGCTTTCAAATAATCGAAAAAGGCATTAAAATATTAAAAAGATCTGCGTTCATAGGCTTTCAAATAGTCTATAAGAAATTACAAACTTTGAATTTGGATTTAAAAACCTAATTTAAATGGATTTAAGTGGGCATTTTTGAACTCAATGTAAAGACTTTTAAGTGTGGATTTTCAAATTCAATTCGAAGGCCTATGAACGTGGATTTCTCAAGACTTTTAGAAACCCAATTTCAAAGCATTTAAGAGATCATTTGACAGCCACTTCAAATACCTTTATGGGTGTATATTCAAACCAAATTCAAAGGTCATTAAGCGCGGATTTTCTAAGAATTTTTGAAAGCCAACTCCAAGGCCATGAAGCGTGGATTTTCAAAGGTCTGTGAACCTGAATTTCTCAAGTCCATAGGAAACCGAATTTCAAAGCATTAAAGCGAGGATTTTTAAGACCATTTGACAGGCATTTAAGCTTGGGTATTAAATACTATATGCAAACCCAATAAATTGCCTTTTAAGCGTGAATTTTAAAAGACAATTTAAATTTCTTTAATAATGGATTTTTAAGATAATTTTAAATTCAATTGGAAGGTTCTTAAGCGTTGATTTCCAAAGCCAATTTAAAGTCATTTGAGGGGGGATTTTTTAAACCCAATTCAATGGCCTTTAGGAGTGGATTTTCAAACCAATTCAAAGACTTTTTAGGTTGGATATTCATAACCAATTTAAAGGCCATTGAACGTGGACATTTTAAGACTTTTGAAACCCCATTTTAAATTTTGCTTAATCGTGGATTTTTAAGACAACTTGAAATCTAATTGAAAGGCCTTTAAACGTTGATTTTGGTATAGGTCTTCAATTATTCCTAAAGATCGACTCTTTTCGGTGACCGTAGTTTCGAACATTTAAACAGGATTCAGCCTTTTTACATTTTCAAAATTTACTTTCTGTGCCAATGGCTGGTCCCATTATTAAAATACACGTGGATGGATTCCTTATTAATTTTCTTCTCCAAAAAAAAAAATCTAATTTGTCTTTTATAAGATAAAAAAACACAAGCAAACACAACATTTCAAACAAGAATATTCTTGTCATCTTCTTTTAGGCATTATTTATTTAATAAATTAAATAACAGTGATAAGATTTCTGGGGTGAAACAAAAAGAAGAAAGTATCTGTATGTAAACATCTCGCGTATGAAGTAACGTAAGAGAAATCACGAGTTTTGTATTCGGTTCTCCCCTGCTTCTCTACTATCTTCTGTCTACTGGTTATATTTGTCTTTTCACAACAGCAAGAAGTATAGAAACACATTGCAGTCATGATCATGATGGAAATACACTCTACAATCCAACTACTGAATAAAATAGATATTTTGAAAACAAACCCCTTTTTTATGACAAAAATATATTTGAAAAAATATGCAGATTTCTATATTCAGATTTCTGTCATGCTTTGGATATAAAATCCAGGTTTAAAGACATTTAAATGCCTTTGAAAAATCACAAATTAAAGCCTTTGAATTAGATTTGAAAAGGCACACTTAAACGGCTTTCAATTGACTTTGAAAAAATTACGCTAAAAGGCCTTTGAATTAAGTTTCAAAATAAAGGTTTCATTCCTTTTGATTATGGTTTGAAAATGTACGCTTAAAGAGCTTTAAATTGGGTTTAAAAATCCGCGCTTGAAAAGGCATTTAAATTCAGTTTTAAATCCACCCATAAATGCCTGTGAATAGGATTTTAAAATCCACACTTAAAGGTCTTTGCATTGGGTTTGGAAATCCGTTCTTAAAGGCCTTTGAATTGGGTTTGGAAATCCATCCATAAATACCTTTGAATTAGGGTTTTAAATTCATCGTTAAAGGCCTTTGAATTGGTTTTGAAAATCCTTCCTTAAATGTCTTTAAATTGGGTTTGAAAATCCTTGATGCTTGGTTTTATATGAGTTTTTTAAAATCACTCCATTTGATGTAATTAAAACCCCCTTAAAAATCTTATCAGATGCAAACATTCTAGATTGATTGCTATGTGTGTGTGTTTGTGTTCTTATTTCAAATTCCAGGCTAATAAATCAAACAGGCAAAACTGCCGGCTGGGTTTCATTAATCATTATTCATTCACCCTAAATAAATTAAAAAATTTTAATCTGAGAAATGTTTGTTGTTTATTTTTAATTCCTAACTACTATTCTCATTGTCTGGACATCACGATAATGTCATGTTTTGTGTTTAACAACAACAGCAATAATAATAACAATAAGATGGCAATTAAATGCACATATATTATCCATATACACCTTTAAAACAATTATTAATGAATTAAGTCATAATAAGATTGTAAATTTTATAAAACCAAAAAATTACAAAATTTCCCATCTCTTCTTTTCTTTGCAGACGGAACAAATAAGACGTGCCAATCGTTTATTTGCCTCAGACAGTTTATTTTTACGTCAATTCTTGATGATACCCGTTGACAAATCATCCATTTACAATCCCAACAATACACCGTTCGACAATGTGATAGAGAACAACACCAACACCATTAACGTGGATGTGATGTTTAATGGTCTGGTTGGTGGTGATCCTCTAAATTGTACCACATCCTCAATTGTCTCCTCAAATTCTGCCTCGTCGTCGTCAATGTCCTCAGCATCGGATGTGGGTAATAATCCACATCCGGGTACATTACCAACACGCCCCTATTCCATAGCCGGTGAACTGTTAGTACAAACCGATGATATTATTGAAAATGCCAGCCTAAATAAAACCACTAATGGCAACTCAACGAAACAGAGTAAATCATTGGATTCGGTGGCGGCCGCGGGGGCTACTTTAACGCCAGAAGAGGAAAGCCGTCGTAGCATAAATGAATTTCTGAGTAAAATTGATAATACAATATCCGAATCACGAAAATATGTGGAAAAGTCGAAAGAGTGAGTATTTCTTTTTGGAATAATTAATTAAAATATTTAAAAATAATTTGTTCATGTATATATTTTAAGATACAGAAAAAAAATTTGCAAAAAATGACATGGAACTCGATCAAATATTTGTATAAAAAATCGCTCTGATATAACAAGGAGTTGACATTCAAATAATTTAACAAAATCCATACTTAAATGCCAGGAATGTAAAAACAGCTTCCAAGAGGTCTTTAAAATCCACATATACAAAGGATGAAATTCTCAAATTTTCTTAGACTCCACGTTTAACGATCTTTAAAATCATCGATTTAAAACCTAGTAATATAGTTAAATATTCTAAAATAACCACGTTTAAAGGCCACACTTAAAGGAAGAGTTTGAAAATCTAATTTTTTAAAACTTTTGAATTGGATTTGAAAATCCATAACTAAATGCCTTCGAATTTGACTTTGAAAATCCACAAATTAAAGCCTTTGAGTTAGATTTAAAAAGGCACCCATAGAAGGCTTTCAATTGAGTTGAAAAATGTACGCTTATAGGCATTTGAATTAAGTTTCAAAATTCACGCATCAATCCTTTTGATTTTGGTTTGAAAATCCACGCGTAATGAGCTTTGAATTGGGTTTGAAAATCCACGCTTTAAAAGGCATTTAAATTCCATTTGAAATCCATTCTTAAAGGCCTTTGAATAGGATTTTAAAATTCACGCTTTAAGGTCTTTGTATTGGGTTTGGAAATCCATCCTTAAAGACCTTTGCATTGGGTTTGGAAATCCATCCTTAGAGACCTTGGAATTGGTTTGGGAAAATTCATCCTTAAAGGCATTTGAATCCTAACTTCAGGGTCTTTGAATGATATGAAAATCCACGATTGAAGGCACTTAATTTAGGTTATAAAATCCAGGTTTAAAGATCTTTAAATGCCTTTGAATTGACTTTGAAAATCCACAACTTAAAGCCTTTAAATTGAGTTTGAAAAGGCACACATAAACGACTTTCAATTAAGTTTAAAAAAATTACGCTTAAAGGCCTCTGAATTAGGTTTCAAAATCCACGCTTCATTCCCTTTGATGATGGTTTGAAATTCCATGCTTTATTCGATTTGAAATCCATCCTTGAATGCATTTGAATAGGATTTTAAAATCCACGCTTAAATGTCTTTGCATTGGGTTTGGAAACCCATCCTTAAATACGTTTGAATTGGATTGGGAAATCCATTCTTAAAGGCCGTGGAATTGGTCTTGAAAATCCAACCTAAAAGGCTTTTGAATTGGTTTTGAAATTCTATCCTTCATATATAACTTCAGGACATTTGAATTGGGTTTGAAAATCCGCTCTAAAAATGGATTTGAATTAGCGTTAAAAATTAAAACCATTTGAATTGGATTTGAAAATGCATGTCTCATCCACGTCTTTAAAGTGGGTTTGAAATCCGCTATAAACCATTTGAGTTGGTTTTGAAAGTCCGATAAAAGGTCTTCTGCCTATAGAAGACCTTTAAAAGAAATTTAAGGTCTATTGGAGGTCTTAGAAGATCTTTTATATTTAAAATTCATACCATTTCCATTTTTTCATATTACATTCAACCCAATTTTCCCTCTTGTATTACCAACAGTTATTGATTCTCTTATTCTTCTTCCCCCACTTTCAGATTGATCTCCAGTCAGACTGATAACGATTTATTTGTTGCCACCGAAGTTGTATCGCGCAGACGCAACAACAACATTAATAACTCATATAAGAAAAACAGTTCGTCAAATACGTCCCAACACATACGACACAGTTCGACGGGCAGTAATTCGGATACAGCTAATCTCTTAAATACGACACAAATGCGTCGAGTGCAAAAACGATTGGAACAGCAGCAGGATGATTTCTTTGAATTGTAGCATAATGAAAATGTTTAGATATATAGATAAATATATACACATACATATATACAGATGGTACTAAAAACAAAAAAAAATCGTTGACTGAAACACAACAACCATCGATATTAAAACAAATTGAAGCAAAACTCAACAGCAGTTTAAAACACAGATGCACACTAAAAGAAAACGAGGAAGAAGAAAAAATGAAAACGTCCTGAAACAAACAACACATGAATTACAAAAATACCCTTTTTTGCGCCAACTCTTAATTCTTTTTGTTTAAATTTCAAATGTAAATAATTTTAGAATTAATTGATAGCAACAACATACAAAAATATTTATTATTTTTTTGAATACTATGACAGACGCGCGATAAATGACATAATGAATGGTTTATATTGTTATGCCCTTCACCATAGTGGTTCAATGGTTAACACCACCGTAGTTGCCATCAAAATGGAATTCAATGCCGATTTGGCCTTCCATATAAGTGTATCCCGAATTTTCGATATTTTGAAGATTTCAGACATGTTTTTCAAAGGAATTGTCTGCAATTTGGTATTTTGGATTATAATGGGGCAACAAATCTTACCAAAAATTATGAATATCGGTCCACTTTTTAATATAGCTCCCATATAAGGGTACCCCGAATTTTTGAGATTTTTTAGGTTTTCAGACATGTTTTTCAAACGAATTGTCTGTAATTTGGTATTTTGGATTCTCATGGTGTAAAAAAATCTTCCCACCAAAAATTATCAAAATCGGTCCACTTTTTGATATATAAGGGTACTCCGAATTTTCGATATTTTAAGGATTTCAGACATGTTTTTCAAACGAATTGTCTGTAATTTGGTATTTTGGATTCTCATGGTGTAAAAAATCTTCCCACCAAAAAATATCAAAATCGGTCCATTTTTTGATATAGCTCCCATATAAGGTTACCCCGAATTTTCGATATTTTGAGGATTTTTGACATGTTTTTCAAACGAATTGTCTGTAATTTCATATTTTGGATTTTAATGGGTTAACAAATCTTCCCACCAAAAATTTTTAATATCGGTTCACATTTTAGTATAGCTCCCTTATAACGGTACCCCGAATTTTCGATATTTTTGGACATTTTAAGCACGTTCATTAACCGAATTGGCTCTAATTTGATATTTTGGTTTCTTATTGGCTGTTACAATTTCCCACCAAAAATTATGAATATCGGTGAATCTTTTGGTATAGGCCTCATATAACGAAACCTCAAATTTCAGTATGTTCAAGGCCCTAGCCCACTTTTCCATATTGAGTACCTGTAGTTTGGAGTATTTTGTAGTCACTGGTGGAGGGTATAAAAAATTCGACCTTGTTTTTTGTTACAATTTTAAAATATAATTGTTATTCCAAATAACAACAACAACCAGAACCAAAACCAAAGAATGTTATTGTCATTCCAGTCTTCATTTTGTTGAGTATTCATCAGAATTGAAATTAATTATTTTATGTTTTTGTTTAATTGGTATTGTGTGTATTATATAAAGCAGTTTACCTAACAAAATTTGTGATTTTTTTGAAGAAGAAAAAATTGAAAACGAAAATGATAGGTATTGTGTAAAATAAAAACCCTCTATTATTTTTTTGCAGCTTTCTAATTTTAATTATTATTATTAAAAACATTATATTCTTTATTTTTGAAATAAAAATAATCATTATATATACAAAATTATTATTATTTCTACAAGAAAATAGAAAACAACACACATTTATTTTTAAGTAATAGTTTTAAATTTTTATTAGTTATTCTTTTTTTACTTATGACATTATTAATCAGATATGAAATAGTTGTCCCCCCACAACATATAATGCTTAATTTGTATACACGATTTCTAGTTGTAATTACATATTTTAATTTTATGCTATTCCCCCACCCCTATCAACATCACATAATATAGTACCTTATTAATGTTATATATAGAAGAAGAAGAGAAAAAAGAAACAACCAATATTGTTAATTGTTTCAAAAATTGTAATTATTTTATAAATTATCATCATTTTTTTAAATAAAGTATTAATTTTTTAAACCTACCCCCCAAAATAAAAAAAAACAAACCAGCAAATAGGTTTCCTTTTTTATTATTAAAAATTATTAATTACTTAAATACATTTATTATTACAGGTCTTCTAATTAAAATAAGAAACAATACTCTACACTAAATAATAACCACCATCATATCTGAAAAGAAAAAAACTACAACAAACTAAAAACCAAACGAAAAAAACTCAATTAGTAACTACCTATACATTACATACATACATATATTTGAGCAAACATCACTAGTTAAATTGATAAATAAAATATATATATTTTGAAACCCAAAAAAAAAAAAGAAAATCTTAAACAAAATTTTAAGACGCACCAAAAATATTTATTTATTAAAACAAAAACTACTCGACTAGAACAACTATTAAAAAAATTAGGGAGTTCATTAATGCTGATATATGTATGTGATGATATTTGAAACCTAAATATATATATTTTCCTCCTGCATTCGTTATTACCTACCGACGCCGGATGCTCCTTTGTGGCGTGGAACGTCATTGTAAAATAATTTTTAAAATCTGAGATGGAAAAACAAATCACATATATTAATGCATGTTGTTTTGTATAGACCACAACACACACACACACACAAAAAGAGTGAAATAAATATCTATGTATGTATATTGATATATTTGTTGAAACATTTGAAGAAAATTGATGGGTGTATGTATTATATTTTATAATAGGAAATAAAATAAAGAGTCCAATTAAACTACAATGAACTGAGAATTGATATTTTTCTTCAAGTCCCTGTGATCTATGGAGGTCATTCTGAAAATATATAAGAAGTAAATCGGAGGATCGTTATTGGACGATTTTAAAACATCACGGGCTTCAGAAAAGAATAATCCGAGGTTTTGGGATCACCGGATTTAAAAACGCTTTTATTTTACCATTGGGGGGTGACGTAGGGGATGATAGATACCAAGCAACGGCTTTGATTGGCTTTAACATGGCAAAGTCCAGGCTTATTTTGGTCCCTCTTTCATACAATTGAGATGAAAGAGGGACCAAATGACACTGACCTCTCCACGGTGTCATCTGGGGTAACTACTTTCATCAGTCGTTGAAATAGTTAGCTGATACATATGTGCCGCAAGTTCATAAGAACTACAAAAAATGGGTTGAGGCGTCGGGTTAGTTGCCCATTTCGGAAAACCCTTCCCACTATGAAAAAGCAACGAAAAGAAAACCAGACCCCCCTAATGTTAACGAACCCCTCAAACGTATAAAGGACCAGAATTTGCGAATCTGCATTTGGAATGTGTGCAGTTTTCGCATTGGCGGATGTACTTAAGAAATACAAAACCGATATTATTGCCTTAAAGGAAATGCGATGGAAAGGAACTGGTGTAAGTAAATCAGATGATTACGCACTGTATTATAGCTGCCATGAAACGAGACATAAATTTGGTTGCGGATTTATGGTTAATAGATGAGGGAATTGCTATAATCCGTATAGGATACAAGTTCTTCTACATTCGTTGATTTCGATGCCGTCCGGAGGGTGTGGAATACCGGAAAGGTAGAGATTAAACAGTTCCAGAGAAATCACTCCACCCTGGGAAACTCCCTGTTTAACTCTACGGGGTTTGGACTTCTTGTTCCAGAACTCCATGTACGACTGGCGTCAACACATATAGTTGATTATCCAACGTTGCAAACTCGGCCAGAGGGAAATGCTCTCGATGTCCTCAAATAGCGTGGCATGATTGACAGTATCAAAGGTTTTTGATAGGCCAAGCGCTACCAGCACGGCTGGTTCAGATTAAGTCCTCGACTTATATGTGTGGAGATATACTGCGTTGTTTACGGAATCTATGTTGATGATTCGCAAATGGATAGCTTTCTTTAATGCTGGGGAGGAGTAATGCCTCAAGGGTCTTCGGCGACAAGGATCTACTGGCGACAAAAGTGAAATCGGTAAGATTCACCTTTTCTGGCATCCATGCCCGGCTTCAGTAGCGGGAACAACCTGTCCGTTGTCCAGGCTTCGGGAACGACGTGGGTGGCTATCGACAAGTTGAGGTCGTTGGTCAAGTACTCGACTCCTGGCTGCTTTAGCATATACATGGATATTTCGTCAGGGCCCAATGCTTTGGATGACTTCGCGTTACGGATGACACATGCAATATCACCCATCGTGAACTGTGGTGGTACCTCCTCGGCTGGAAGATATCTTATACGATGAAGTACTCTTCTCTTCGCCCTGTCGCTCTCGGGATGCTCGACAAACTGTCGGTTAAAATAACTCGCGCATCTCTTCGGATCAGTCACATTTTCGTCGTTAAATGTAAATGTATCATCCTTGTTACTAGGGTTTGAGAGCGACTTAACCCTTGCCCACAGACGATTATGGGGAGGTAGTCTGAGCCAAGTGAAATGACGGGCTGCCAGTTGACGTCATTTATCAGACCTGGTTGACCAAGCTTAATGATCCATTATGTCGATGTCGTCGGTGTAGGTGAGTAACATGTTGGCTCTCTGTACACCAACACAGTGCCATTTCTGTTCACCTTGGCCTCTATTATGACCTTTTCCAACATGATGTTAAAAAGGTCACACGAAAAACTGTCACCTTGTCTGAATCATCAGTATGGATAGGGCTGCCGAATGCGGCTTTAAAGTCGAGGATTAGGTGGAATGTGTCGATGTGTTTTTTGTTGTTTTTTTTTCAGGATTTGGCGCAGAGAGAAAATTTTGTCAATGGCGGATTTGCCACGATTTGAAGCCTCATTCCCATATGCGATGGGAAGGAGAGTAATTCCTATATAGTTGGCACAAACTATCCTGTCTGTGTTGTTGTGCATGAGACACTGGATGCTGATGTTCCAATCATTGGACATGCATTCCTCTAGCCAAATTACACTATTTAGCTGGTGCATGCTCTACTGATCGTAACATGGTTTTTTATGATGCTTTTTGGTACCCGAGTATTGTTTTTGCTGCAGTTTGTAGGAAGTGGGCAATTTTTTGCCATTGTGCTTTTATATTATTATCGGGACAAGAAGTGCTTTCGTCAAGCAGGTGGGTATGTTGAGCGGAGTAGGCTTCTGCTATCTGTTGTGTTTGCAGCTTTTCGACGTCGAGTTTCCGTGTTTCATTAGATCGCACCTTTGTTGCCACATTAAGACGAGTACGAACCCTGGCTGCCACGAGGGTATTCGCTCCTCGAATCTATCGAACGTCTAAAACACTGAATGATTGCCTTCCGTCTATCACAACATGATCAATTTGATTTCTCGAGAAATCCAGGTGGCCTTGTGTATATCGAGATGCTTGAATCTGATGCCGCTAACTACCATGCTTTTGCTGCTGCGAAGTCAATTAACCTCATGCCGTTGTCTGAGTTTCTTCATGAAGGCTGAATTTTTCGACGGTGGGACCAAAAATATTTTCCCTTCTGATCTTTGCATTAAAATCACCTAGCAGAATTTTAATGTCATGGCCCGGGCAGCGGTCATATGTTGTTCCTAGGCGTTCGTAAAATATGTCATTGGTCTGTTAATCTTTGTCTTCCGCCGAATTATGAGCGCAAATAAGACTGATGTAGACGATAATAGAAATTCGTTAATCTACGAGTACTGGAGTGAAGCTGGGAACGAAGTATTTTAATCTCCTATTACCCAAAAATCCATTAAAGAGGAGGTATTATACGTAAAAATATGTTCCGCAAACTTAATAGGCAGGTAGGTACCCGAATGGAGGAATTATGGCGCCCAACGTGCCCAAATTATTTTTACGTATATTTCTTTATACGACTTTAGCAATTCGAGGGTATAAAATGTCATTTGGATGAACCATTTTTTTCCATTATGGAAACGTACAGTCAGTCACGTAACCAGACAAATTAACGGTTTCTATGCTGTGCGGTGACAAATTCTTGTTCACAATGAAAATACTTTTTATGGTTACGAAGTTATGAAAAATATTTGTAGACTTACCCGGCCACACGTGTTGCAAATTCTCACATTCCATTTTAGTCTTTATTTATTTGCAAAATAGAGTCTGTGTTGACATATATTTAAATACTCAACATATGTCAATCATATGATTTAAAGTTCAGTTCCATGGAATTTCCTTCAAACTAAACCATTAAAACCATTGATTAACAAAATGAAATGGAAAAATACTCCCAAAAGACAGGCAGGCAGGGCGGCTGTTTTGCGAAACGGTCGTTGACAATGGTGACATCAATTTGAAAAATTCGAATACAAAATAAATATTGTGATTTTTTCGTAGTTATTTATTTAACTAATTATGATATATCACCATGAATATGTTTATGTGTTATTGAGTTATTTATTTACTTTATTTATTCGAATAAAAAAATAATGAAAAATAAATCAACAATGGTACCAATCTTGAATGTTCGCCAAAAAACACAAAACGAAGTTGTCTTGTTCCGCCACAATTCCTAATATTTTCGGCAAATGTGACAACAAATAAATCGGTGAGTAAACAGACACTCACTCATTATACAAATAACAACAGAACAACAACAAAAATAAACAAATCAATTAGGAATGTGTTAACATTTTAAATATTTTTTCATTATTTTGTAAAATTTTAACCCGGCTGGCATCGATCATTTCCATATATTCCTGTATGCTCGATTCGATTTGTAGCAATTGATTTTTCATTGGTTCCGTGGCGGATTCGGTGAGGCTGGAGAAAAAAAGGAGGAAAATTATTTATTATCAACATTTTTCAAAATTATCTTCCATACCTCTTCTCCCTTTTCAATTGATTGGCGGCCTGGGTATATGTATCCCGCCACATTGTAAACTCCAGCTGCATAGCATCAATATCTTCCGGTATAAAATCCATTAGTTTACCCAAAGGATTAATGGACTTGGTTAAATTTTGTATGACATCGCGTAAATTATTCATGGATGTTTGTTTCATTACCATGCCATTGACTGTGTCCTGAAAACATTTAATTATTGGGATTACAATTTAATTGAAGGAGATAGACTTCTACAGAAGAATGCTCAAAGAAAACAACTTTTGAAGGAATAAAAAAAAATTAATCCGCGTTGTAAAACTGTAGTTACAGAAAGAGTATGAACATAAGGCATTTGGTCTATCTAGATTTGTTGGGATTTAGCGACATGGATAAACCTCGGTTAGGTTTTGAATAAATGAAGCTATTCGAATGGAGGATTCAACACCAAGAGACCTTAGTAATTATTCAAGCAAGGATTCAGAAACATTTTACTTAAAGAGACCTTAGACCTTAGTACTAAGCTTAGCCGTCCTTCGTAGTCGAAACCTGGATAAGTAGTCTTGGTGAGGAAGGTAATAGGGTACTGGTTTAGTACTCTAAGCGGGGACGATGACAGGAATACTGGGGATTTAGAGACCTGGCTAAGTAATCTTACAACAGCTAGGATTCGGATACTTTAAGCAGGGTTTGAATAAGTGAATTCAACAGCAATGGACCTTAGTAAGTGCTCAAGCAAGGATATGGAAGGATTCTACGAAGTTTCTATTCTCTGCTTAGCCGTTCTTCAAAGTCGAGACATGGCGAGAAATGTAATACGTTACTAGGATTTAAAGTCCTGTTTAAGGACTCTAGGCGGGGAAGGTGACAGAACGATTTGGGACTTACAGACCTGGATAAGTACTCTCACAAAATCTGGGATTCGAATGCTTCAACTAGGTTTTTAATAATTGGAACTATTCTAAATGATTCAACAGCAAGGGACCTTAGTAAGTACTCAAGCAATGATATGAACGGAATCTACAGCAAGAGGCCTTAGTAAATACTGAAGCAATGACACGGAAGGATGCTACGGCATGAAATATTAGTAAGTTCTCCGGGATTTTATTCTCAGCTTAGTCGTCCTTCGAAGTCGATACTCGGTACTCTTGGCGAGGAAGTAAATATGATAATAGGATTAAGTGACGTACATACGTTCACTAGGCGGGAAAGTTGACAGGACGATTGGGGATTTAGAGACCTGGATAAGTTCTCTCACAACAGTTGGGATTCGGATGCTTCAACTAGGTTTTGAATAAGTGAAGCTATTCTAAAGGAGATTGATAGCAAGAGATCTTGGTAAGTACTCAAGCAAGGATAAAGAAGGATTCTACTACAACAGACCTTAGTAAGTACCCAATCAAAAATACGAATGGATTCTACAGCAAGAAAACTTAGTAAGTACTCAAGGCAGGATACTATAGGATTCTACTGCAAGAAACCTTAGTAAGTACTCAAGGCAGGATACTATAGGATTCTACTCCAAGAGACCGCAGTCTAACCGTCAAGCTGATGTTTCTGAGGCTGGCGACCAATTAGTGAAAATGAGTCACTAGTATGTTTTCCACGCTGTCATACTACTCTCACAAAGTGCTATTTAGCACACATCCTTTCTTTTGCCGTCAACCACTCAGTTATGCCGGATGAACAAATTCTGATTTGAAAGAAGGCGAGAATTATCCGGTTGCCAAAACCGGAAAAATCTGCTAGTCGGGGAGATTCATATCGACCTATATCCCTTCTGTCACCACTAGCGAAGGTTTTGGAGACCCTCCTGCTGGCATCCATGACGGAGAACCTAAAAGCTGGAACAACATAAACATGGCTTTAGGAAATGTCACAGTAGCACCACAGCCTTCACAGATGTCGTTAATAACTTTGCCAATGGACTCAACAAGACAAGACCGGCCGAGCGAACAATTCTTGTGGTATTGGATCTGTCCAAGGCGTTCGATACTGTCGACCATGCCACCTTGATTTATGACATCTTGAACTCTACATTGCCAAACATAACCAAAATCAAACCGCAAAATCAAAATGGGTGTCCCGGAAGGTGTCATCTCACCCTTGTTATTCAACTTCTACATTTCCAAATTCTCCTCCCCTTCAAATGGTATAAAACTCGTCACGTATGCTGACGACTCCTCGATCTTCGCCTCTGGAGTAGAAGTAGTGGAGATCAAGGACAAAATCAACACTTATCTATCCTCACAGTAGCCATATTATTTCAGGGTAGAAACTTGCAGATTTCCCCATCTAAATCAACTGCCACTATATTTACATCATAGACCAAGGAGGTAAAGCGGTCAGGATGTTCAGTCATCCTGAATGTGTATCAAGCGAGAGTCGTAGGGATCGAAGACATTTGTGTCACTTGCAGGCAGAGCCCGCACATTACAGGTCATCTATTTTCATGCTCACTCCAGCCCACGGATCTTTGTCCCATTGATCTGTGGCTGAGGCCAGTAGAAGTGACGAATTTTTGGAAGCTCCCAACATAACATTTTAAAAACAATCCCCTGAGAATATCGAGTATCCCACCCGCTTCTTACCTTCTCATTTTTAATCTGTTGATTGAAATCCTTTTGCTGAGTCAATTCCTTTTGTGTCTCCAATATTTGTTGTACCAAATGTCCCTGCTGCTCCACCGTTGCATCGGCAATATCCAGATCCGATTTCAAAGCACTATCTGTTCCACTTAATTCCCCCGAATTTATAGCATCCGGATTTTCAATAATCACCAAATTTTCACCATCATCATCCAGATCACCAAAATTTTCCAATTTCACTTGAATGCCGGACATTTTTATCTGATCGTTAGGTTGAAGAATAATTTCAATATTACGATCACGTCTACGTGGTGCACCTGGCCTTGCAGAGGGTGGTCTTGCTGATGGTGGCCTTAGCGAAGTTCGTGGACGATTGGTTTTTGTGGTCGTTGAATCTTTCGAATTTTCTCTTATAAAAGTGGATTCACGTTTGATTACCGGATCGGCAGGGGGATTGACAAGACCAGCTGCAATGGCAACTGGTAAAGGTTCAGGGTTAGTTTCCTGGGGCCTAACGGGACTTGGTGGTGTGGGTTGCTTTTTGGGTTCCATGGGTTCTTCTCTGCGTATTTTGGCAGAGCTTTGTTTTTTGGGTGTTTGAATTTCTTGTTGTGATTCTGCCATGGGGTCTTTCAGAGTTGCCGAAAATTGTTCGGCATTGTTAGTTTCCTTTGAAATTTCAAAGGAGTTCTCACTGTTCGGAATTTTATTACGCGATCTGCTTGATGATTTCTTTCGTTCCACCGCATTGCCATTAGCCACATTTTCCACCTCCAGTTGTCTTAGTTTTCCCGACACCTGCCTATTATTTTCATCCGTATTTTCATTGTTAGGTGAAGGTAATTTCTGTAGATCTTCCTTTGCCGGCGACATTTCCTTATTTTCTTTCTTGGCTTTTCTAGATTTTCCTCCTGAACTTTTACCACTACTGGTTCGGGAGGGTTTTAATTCAGGTGGATCCTTATCTGGCTTTGCATCGAGCGATTCCAGAGCTTTAGTTTCAGCACTTAAATGATCTACATTTACGGCATCTCCCATTAGACTATTTTTGCGAATCACTTCAGTTGGCTTTACTTCATCCTCTTTCATCTTCTCCTCTTCCTCGTGGGAACATTGAGGTGCTTCATTTACGACCTTAGAAGTCTCCTCCTTCTTCTTCGTTTTCACTTCACCAATAGGTGATGCGGTTTTATTGCTGTTCTGGGAATCGGTTTTATTCAATTTTTTACTAGCCGATTCTTTGGATTTAGTCGGGATTTTCTCCTTCTCTTTGGTCTTTGAGGAGGTTTTTTCTTTAGTGGTAGAGGATGTCTTCTCCTTTTCCTTGGAACGTTTTGGTTTCTCTTCCTTGGCCACGGTTGCTTGTTTGCTAGTTTTACTGGAAACTTTACTACCTTTTGTGGCATCCTTTGTCTTCGAGGATTCTTTATCTTTTGATTTTTCTTTAGGTTTTTCGCTGGATTTCGGATCTTTTCCTTTGAGTACCTGTTCCACAGCCGGTTGCCAATTTAATTTATTTTCTATAATTTTACCCATTAACTGGAGTAATTCATTCGTCTTCTCTGCCTCATGGCCAGCCACAATTTTCGAAGTTTTTACCGTAAGCGGAACATTTGTGCAAATTCCTGGAAAGAAGATGATCTTAGTGAGAATTTTGGGAAAGATAAATTTAATATATATTTCATAGACGCATGGTGTTCACCTTTAACATTGGTACTTCGAGCCGGATAAGTGACAGAATTTTCTTATAGGTCGAGAAAATTCTGTCTGTGTTCCACAAACAATTAAGGGGACCGCCCCCCATTCTCGGGGTCAACATTTTTGTTGATATAATTCGAATCTACACAGATTAAAGAATGTCTCTACAAAATTTCAAGTGAAAATCTCAAGAACTCTTGAAGATATAGCCGATTTATTGTGTCAGCATCAAGTGACGGCTAAAGGGTTTCTCAAACTTTAAACGCGTTTTCTCTAAACATTTTTTTTGTGAATGGCGGGCACGATAACTCAAAAACTAATAGTCCAATCGGTTCCAAATTTTGCAATGTTTCTCTGGGAGTGTATAGCTCTCGTATGAACTAGGATAAAACCAATCGGTGAAGATCTTCCTTATTTTTTAACTTGGTTTTTGGTAAAAAATCGGCGATTTTCCAAAAATATTCTTTCAAAGGTCCACCATTTTGTTAATTTTAGAGCGAAGTCAATAATCCTAGTTCATACGAGAGCCAGACATGTACTCTTTTTAACAACGTTGGAATTTTCGGATTCCGATGTTCCAGTGAGGAGTTATCATGCCCTCCATCAAAAATAAGGACTTTCCTTTAATTACAAAAAACAATAACAAAAATTTTTTGTAAATTATTTTTCTTCTATTTTAAATCTTCAAATATATATGTGCAAAGTTACAAACCTTAACAAGCATTGGTATTGATTTACCAGCCCATTGAAATTCTTGAAAAATTAAAATCGAGAATGGGTGGGGATCCCTTAAAGCCGTTTTGAATGACTCCCAGTCAGTTTCGAATTGTAGCTTAAAAAGCTCAAAACGATATCACCCACTACAAGATTACTGGAAAATGGGTAGGGTGGTCCCGCTATTGAAGTCAGGCAAAGGTGAGTCATACAGGCCGATCTCACTTTTGTCGCCAGCAGTGTTGCCAAAACTTTGTTGAGAAAAAATGCTAGATTTTGTTTAAAAAAATGCCAAAAAGTGCTAAAAATTTTAGAAAAGTGCCAGAAAAAAGTGCTAAATTTTAATATAAAGAAAATTGTTAATGAGATCTATATTTCTTAATTTTTATACTTAAATATAAATTAATAATTGATATTAAATTTTTCCAAACAGGGTACATATTGTTTTGGTCGCTCTAGAGACCCCAACTATGGCCTGAACATCGCGAAATGCGAAAGGAATTTCCAAAGATATTTTCAATATTTTACGACTCAAACGGTAAACACTTTTGTGTGAAAAATGTCAAAATTTGTGTATATATTTTCTCTAGAAGAACATATACCGGTAAAGTTGACTGTGAATCCAAGATAAGTAGTTAACCTTTAAATTGATACCAATTACTGATGTATGTAATCGGATGTGGATGCTATACATACATATATACAGGTGTCTACGTACCATTACCACACTAGAGGGTGGAAATGTCGGTTATGGTCAAGTGAGACATCTATAGTATTTGATGATTCGGGCTCCACCAAATCATCTGCCAACAATAAAACATGACTTTTTTGATAATGATCGGTCAATATTTAACGAGACAAATTGAACAATACTTTTGTGGGAAAAAGAAAAAAAATATTCCAAAACATTTATTTTTCTAGAGGGGAAGAAGTTGCTAGTATACAAGAGGTGCGGTTGGCCTTTAAATTTATATAAATTTTATTGATTTATATACTTGGAGTTATACTAAATGTTCATATTCTGATATTGTTTAGTAGCATTTTTATCACAGAAGGAGGTGTATATGTCGCGATTTTTTCCCGAAACGGAAATCGTTTCGCAGAGCATTGGGACCAGTGATAATTATGCTCCACTCACTGATTTAACGTTGAAAAAATCAAACTAATCGTGGAAAACATAGAGAAATTTCAGTTTGTCATCGAAAAACGACAGTGATACCAGGAAAAAATTTAATAAAAAATAAAAATGCTAAAAAAAGTGCTAGGTTCTAGATCAATTTTTTTGGTGCTAAACGAGTTTAAAAAGTGCTAAATCTAGCACTAAAAGTGCTAAATTGGCAACACTGGTCGCCAGTATCTAAGACACTTGAGGCTTTACTACTCCCTATCATTCGTGAATGCTACTCAGTTGCTGATCATCAACATGGGTTTCGGAAGCAGCATAGTACAACAACAGCTTTGCACGCCACTTCCACACACATAGCCGAAGGACTCTACCAGAAAAGACCGTGTAACAGGACAGTCATAGTGGCGCTAGACCTATCAAAGGCATTTGATACCGTCAATCACTGTTCGAGGACGTCGAGAGAACAACCCTCCAAACGTTTGATCATAAACTATATGTGTGGACGCAAGTCGTACGTGGAATTCAGAGACAGGAAGTCGAAGGCCCGTAGAGTTAAACAGGGAGTTCCCCATGGAGGGGTGATATCTCCGGAACTGTTTAACATCTTCCTTTCTGGAATTCCACACCCACCGGACGGCATAAAGATGGTAACATATGCCGATGATTGTACGATTATGGCGTCAGGACCTAAAATTGATGACATTTACGAGAGGCTGAAGCACTATCTCGTGGATATCGCAGACTTTTTCCGGTCAAGGAATATGGAAATATCCACTACTAAGTCAACGGCCAAACTGTTTATCACATGGACAGGGGAGATGTGACTCTCTTTTAATGTGTTGGTCGAGGGGACCGCCAATTACCCCAAGGATTTAGGGGTTACATTCAATGGTCTTTATAAGTCGTCCGGGCATGCCACAGCTATTTGTGATCAAATCAGGAGCCAAAACAAGGTTCTCAAGTCGCTAGCCGGCAGCACTTGGGAAGCTGACAAAGAAACCTTGTTAACGACATACACAGCAATAGGCCGATCTGTGATAATCTATGCGGAGCCAGTGTGGTCCGCTAACGTCAGTGCTACGCATTGAAAAAGTCTTCAATGCTACCAGAATGTCGTCCTGAGGACTGCAACAGGGTGTCTCTTCATGACTCCAGTAGATACACTTACAAGATGTTGTCGATGGAATACCTGCTTGGGTTTTATAGGAATAGCCATCCAAATCGTTACCTAATGAATAGGCACCCACCTTCTAGGCATGTCTGGAAGGACCTTTAAGATCTGAGAATATAGGTCCAAAGGTACAAAAGGAAGCCTTCAACAGGCCTACCAGTCAGGATTGAATCGTATTCACATGGATGCAGTTGAGGAAGCAATTCGAGAATATCATGTGAATACTATCCTCGGAGATCAGGATGGTGTAGCCGCCTCAATTCATGAGGTCGATAATATCTGCACGGCATGTGGTAATGTTCCACATGACACGCTACACCTATTTAACTGTCCAGGCAAACCCACTCACCTAACCCCATCTTCTCTTTGGACTCAAACGATACAGGTCGCCGCCTTGCTGAACTTGTAGTGAGAATCAAAACCAGATTAAGAAGAAGAATAAGAAGAAATACACAGCAGTACAAGCTGTTACAACAACAACTACAAGTTTGGTATGACCCACTTTTACATATTTGTTTTTTTACTTACGCACAACATCAATCATTTTTTGTAGAAAACGCATTTTATCCTCACGATCTTTAATATTGTCGGAATTCAATTCATCCGCCGTGTACAGGCCCTCAAAACAACCTGTATCCCGGATTACCTTGAAATAAAAACACAAACAATTAATAATTTATAAAAATTAGTAATTCATTTGATTGACTTCTTACCACAGTAAAAACATCATGTAGAAAACGAAATGGTGGCTTTCGTAAAAGTTTTTCCGTTAAATGTGGTTTCTTCACATATTTACCCAATGTTTCTTGGGTGTGCTTAATAACAGCAGGATTTATATCCTCGGACATTTTTATAGAGGTTTTAATTTTTATTTTGTTTTACTTTATTACAATTCTTAATAACTCTGCATTATTTATTGTGTGTTGAAATAAAAATGAAGTTAAGTAGCTGCTTAGTTAGTTTGCCATGGCAACCGGGAAAAACACACACTTTGGCAGGATAAAATTTGAAGTTGATTTTTTTCGGAGTTGCCATATTAATGCAGTTGAAAGTGCGATATGTTAATGTTAAGGGAAATGGTTTGAAAATTTAAATTCGTAATTTCTACACTAAGGTTCGTCTGGTACGATCTTTTTATAGCCTTCACCATAAGCATGTAAACCCCATTTTGCTATTGCTTGGAACGTCCCAATGCAGTCGTCTCTTTTATTCTCTTTTTGGGTTAAAAATAAAATATTTTTTATTGCATTTTAAAATTGCTTAACTATAATATATTACTAGATCAAAAAATAATAATAATTACGTTATTATAATTCTATGAATTAATTCATTCTCCATTTTTTTCACAGACACTCATATATAAAATAATTTTATATACAGATTAAAGTACATATTGTTTTTTTCTTCAAAGGCATCAATGGTGTTCGATAACTAATAAAAATTAATATTAGAAAAAATAATATTTTAAAATTCATATTAAAAAACTCAAGTAATAAAAATTGCATCCATTTATAAAAAAAACAAACAAATTGAGTATAAAAATAATTTTTTCTGTTTAGCTTATGATTTATCCTTTTCACTTTTAATAGTTCGCTTATCTTCTTTTTCTTCTTTAATGGGTGGTGGTGCAGGAGTGTTGTCGTCTTCCTCCCCATCGTCGTCCTCGTCATCATCATCATTACCCAATACATATTCAATAACTTCATCAATTGGATAGTTGTTTAAAAGCTCCTTTATCGAATCATTGTGTATGACAACGGTAAACAGCAATTTGACATATTCGCGCATGCGGCTGGCAAATTCCAATTCATTATAATTGAATTGATCATTGGATAAATTGTGGCCGCAATTTTCAATAACTTTGCAAAGGACCTGCAAAAATAAAAACCACAAATTAGAATAATTAAAAAATATTAAAATTAAAATAATTTTCAAAACTTACCAACTCCTCTGAGGCATCAGGCCAACCAAATTTCTTAAGTGTTGCCGTGTCCACCAACATATCCAGCAACTTGCCCACATTATCCTTCAGTTTCAAATCCTCTTCATTTAACTCCTCGTCATCATCGGTGCTAAAGTGTGTCAGATTATCATCATCAGCAATGGCAGCAGCCAAACTTTCCGCCAAAGATTTACGTTCTTTTTTAGTTTCAGGGGTCCGATAGGTTTTCGCCGCAATGGTATTGGTTGTTACGGGTTCAATAACACCACCATTTGATTCTAAAGGTATAACGGTAAATGCTTCATTGGATAATATAATGGTCTCTCCACCACCACCCGTTGATGTTGAAGGGCCCTCATTGATAATAAACTCTTCCAGAATTTGCACTTTATTCGATTGGTTAGCAGCAGCCGAGATTGTTGGCGATTGTATGATACGTTGATTTGCCAAACCCTCTATACTACTATTCAAGATTTTACCCTCACTATTTGTGGTAACAAATTCAATACGCGGCCCCTGGGCATCTTCAATTTTAATAATTTTCGGTGCTGGAATTGTCATCGACTGTTCATCCTGATCATCATCTTCGTCTTCTTCGTGTATGATACCGGTGCGATCACCAAATGGATCCTCGTTTACAAAGGTTTCAGGATCTTCTTGATGTACCTTTAGTATGTGGAATTGTAGACTTTGTACACAATCGAAGTTCTCCTTGCACACCGCACAATCGGTACGATTTTTCATTTTACGTTTTTGCACGGGAGCTGAAAGAAAGGGAGGAGAAATAAATTTGAATACATTTTTTTATTTCATAAAGTCTGCAATCAGGAATTAGAAAATGGGAATTATCTCTTCCAAAAATAACGAATTCGAATTATAATTCGCAATTTTTTATAGTCGGTTTGTATTTTTCCGAAATAAAAATTCGAAATCATCTGTCCGTTGATACGTCCTTCGGTACAATTGGTTGAGCAACAGCGTAGCTTGACGCCAGGGTCGCTAGGAGACGGTGTCGGCTTCTGGGCTTCCTGCTTCGAGACGGCGGGTTTGGCTTTCGAATAAGATCCGTCGACTAGCAACCAATTATCTTTGCTGATACGCCCATCAGAGGCAGCTCGTTTCATGATCGCCACTCACAAATCCTCCGGTACACTTGGTTGAGCAGCAGGCACTGGTATCGATTTCTGGACGCCCTGCTTCGAGACGGCGGGTTTGGCTTTCGTCTCAACCTTAACACTCTTAGCAGGATTCTCCATCGAAGAAGCAGTTGTCCGTGCATCTAGCGACTGCATGGGTCCCTTTGTAACAGAATGTTGTTCATCCGCTGACCTCATTGTCTTCACGGCCATAGGTTATGTTGGAGATCCTGACCCCATTTGCAGCTGTCGCGAGCACCTGCTTCATATTCGCCATTTTTGATTTCCCCAGCACCAACTGGTCAACTGTGATAACGCTTATTTCGGGTTTTGGCATTGACAGCAGTATCAAGCTGTCAATTCTTGCCCAATGGGAATTGAGGTGCGATGGATGGGCGGCGATCTTCGATTATGCTATTTTCACGATATTGCTCTACTGCCCGAACGACTGCGTCCGTGTGAATAGTATTCAGACCTGTTTGATAGGCATCTTGATCTAGGGGTTCACGATTATATCTTTGGACTTCTCTCTCTCTCTAGATCATGAAGATCTTTCCTGACGTGCCTGTGCGGTGGAGTCCTGACAGAGGTGTTCCTGACGATAGCACCCAAGCAAGTACTGCATCGACAACATATAATTGTGTGGAGGGAAGGGTAAGATTTTTATATCCTCATAAAGATGGTCCACTGGAGTCATGAGGAGAATCCCTTGTTGCAGTTCTCAGGGCAGCATTCTGGCAGGTCTGAATATTCTTCCATCGCGCATTACCTACATACGCACCCCACACTGGCGACACATGGTTTACCACTGACCGGCCTATTGCTTTATAAAGGTCAACAAGGTTTCTTTGTCAGCTCCCCAAGTGCTGCCGGCTAGCAACTTGAGGACATTGTTCCTCAGCTTATCACATAAAGCAGAGCGTTCCGGAGCGTATATCCGATTGTCGTGGGAACGGACTCGTTTGGTTGTTGTTGTTGTTGTAGCAGCTAGTACTGCTGTGTATTTCCAATTTATCTTAATCTCGTTTGGTAGTTATTTGTGCTGATGGGAGGGTCATCAGCACCAGTATCTTAGTATTTGAAGTCTGGAGACTTGGCGCTCGCCGCCAAGTCGTCTTCAGGGATTGCATCCGTTCTCATCGTCAGGGAGGAGTCACTAGTATCGTAGTGCTAACCACAGTGTTTTCTATAGCGTCTTCCTCTCGGCTTCAATTTATATATATATATATATATATATAAATATATATATATCAACCACTGATGCACAAAATAATACGCCAGCGTTGATGGTTAAAAACGTATTCTTTTTTCTATATTCGTCCGTCATTTTTTGATGATGATCTCTCAAACACACACTTACTCTCTATTTATTTATGTTAAACACTGTTGTAAACTTACTTATATGAATTCCATCTTCCATGTGCTTATTATATTCCAGTTCAGTTTTGAAACCCCTCCTGCAAATATCACATCGTTTAACCATTTTAGAGCGTCCACGTCGTTTTGTTCCATCGGGGTTATGCTCCTTTGAATGTTTTTCAAGTCTAATAAAAAGTAAATAAGCAAAAATAAATAATTATCTTTGTTTTTCGAAAACAAAACAATGTAGTCTCTTACTGTTTTTCAGTTCTAAATTTCTCTGGACAGTGGCTGCATTCAAATGGACGAATATGGGTTTTCGCATGGGTACGCAACTGTGTACCTTGTATAAAACTTTTACCACACTCCGTGCAAACATGTGGCCTTTCGCCGGTGTGGCGTTTCATGTGACGATTTAAAACTTCCTTAACGGCAAATGATTGTTTGCACTGTAGAAAAAAAGAAAACAAGAATTAAATTTAAAATCAATTAGCATCACATGTTAAAGATACAGACTGTAAATTATGTTTCTAAAATATCATTCGAGTTCGTTTGTTTTGAATTTTATAGAATCTGGCTATTAATACGAAAGAGCATTTCAACAACGATTTTGTGTTATTGCTAAATTGAAGATGAAAATAAACTCCTAGAGCGTCCCTTTCGAATTTTATAGAAAGTCTAATCTACTTTTTTCAGGGTTCCATAGAAAATGTCCTTGCTCTTCGTCCTTCCCGAATAACTTCTTTTTTTATTGAGTCCCAAAAATAAATATACATACCACAGAACATGTATAGGGCTTCTCTCCAGTATGATAGCGCCTATGTTTTTTCAATGCCACCAATGATGGGAATTTCTTTTCACATAAATCACAATCAAATGGTCTCTCCCCAGTGTGGGTTCTTGTGTGGATACTAAAAAAGTACACGTATCATTTAAATTATGACTTAAAATACTAAATCATTTTTCAAACTTACTTCAATGTCGATAAACTGTAGAAACATTTTTTACATGTCGGACACATATATTCCGACTTCTTGGTAACCTGTGTACCCAAATGCTGTTTCAAATGTGAACGTAGATTATCCAAACGATAGAAGGCCTTATTACACACCTTACAATGCAGGGTGTTACTTTCATTTGCCGCACATGCACTAAATTTCAGGTGACGACTTAAATGGTAGGATCGGGTAAAATCTTTACCACATGTTTTACATGCAAATGGTTTTCCACGATTACTGTGTTGTTCTTCGTGCAATTTCAAAAGATTAGCACTACGCAATTTAGCATTACAAATGCTACAGGGAAAATCATTAAATTCCGAGTGTGTAATAAAAATGTGACGTTCATAACTCATTTGGGTCTTAAAGGATTTTGGGCAATCGGGGCAGCTAATGTGACCTAACTGAAAAGTATAAAAAATAGTAAATATTAAAAATGAGGACAATAAAAAGTGTTTTAAAATATTTTCAACTTACATGGAAAGTATCATAACTTTCGCCACAGCAGAAGCACACATCTTTATTTTCCATGATTACAGCATCCTTTTCGATTTTCTCCAGATTCTTTAACATTTCCGCTTTACGCAGTTCATAGCCACTGTCAAAGCGGCAATAGTCCAAATGTTTTTTCAGACCCTAGATAAATAAAAAATTAGTATAATGAATGGTACGAGTCTAGTTTCCAGATTTTTTAGAAATACAAATTTTGTGCCGGGCCGAACCCTCCACGATGATGTGAATATTTCAAATACAATATTGATCATTTTTGGTAGAAAGATTTGCTACCAAATGAGGATTTGGAATACTAAATTGTAGATAATTCGGTTGGAAAACTTGACCAAAATCCCCAAATTTCCGAATAATTTGGGGTTACGTTAAATGGGGGCTATCCTCAAAAGTAGACCGATATCGATAATTTTTGGTGGGGAGATTTGATATCAAATAAGAATTGAAAATACTAAATTATAGCCGATTCGGTTTGAAAATTTGAACAAAATATTTGCTAGTATTCAAAATACTGAATTATAGCCAATTTAGTTGTAAAACGTGCCCAAATTCCGAAAATTGTTGGGTACTGTTGGGTGGGAGCTAGCATAAAAAGTGGGCCGATATCGATAAGATTTGGTAGGGAGATTTGCTATCCAATGAGAATTCAAAATATCAAATTATTGCAAATTCGTATAGAAAACTTGCCCAATCTCCCAAAATTCTGAATATCATCAAAAGTGGATCGATATCGATCATTTTTGGTAAGAAGATTAGCTTTGCAATGTGAACTCAAAAAACCAAATTCGGCTGGATAACTTGCCCAATTTCCCCAAAATATGGAATAATGGGGAATACCGTTATATGATGGCTATAATCAAAATGGACAGATATCAATTATTTTTGGTAGGAAGATTGGCTTCTTAATGGAAACTAAATATACCAAATTACATACATTTCGATTGAAAATCGGACAAAAATATATAGAGGAGCCACATCTAAATCTGTACAGATTTTAACCAAATAGGTTTCATCCAAATTGCATGTCCTTCGGGTAATAATAAAGTACAAAACCTTTTCGATACTTTTGGATACCTTCGTTAGAACCGATATGACGTTATAAGCGATTTCAACCGAGTATAAGAAATATTCACTCCTATCCCGCATATCGGAAACTTGGATCAAATAAATGAGCTGAGCCAAATTGCATGTCATTCGGATAATAATAAATTACAAAACAAAAGTGTCGAACAACTTCGTTAGAACCGATATGACCTTATAAGCGATTTTGAACGTGTATAATAAATATTCATTCCTATCCGGCATCTCCCAAAACTTACCTTCAAACGTCGAAATGTCTTAAAACATTTTCCACAAACATGTTCAACAATTTCCTGGGTACGTGAAGCGGTTTCCATTTCTTCATCATCATCGCTCAAATGAAGTTCTTCCAGTATTTCACCCGTATGTCCTGTGGTGCGGCCCTCGATATTTTCCGTTAAAATAAAATCAATGGACTCATTATCGTCACCATCACCATCGGCATCCTTTTCTCCCTTTACCAAATTCATTAAATAATGATCCATCTTTTTTTGTTTTAGTGCCGAAGGTGGCGTTTTCGACTGGGCAATGGAGAGGGTAATTTGTTTGGGTGGTGACATGGGGACTGATGTTGTGGCGGTTGGCTTTGGTGGAACTGGTGGCTTGATTTGTTTATCATTTAAAATTTTAATACCCTCATTTTTTGCTGGCGGTGGAGGCATTGCAGCGCTGTCATCTTTTTCCACTTTCATTTTAGGTGTTGTTAGTTGTTGTTTTTTAATTCATAAAATTTCCTCCTCAAGGATAAATGTAAAGCCACGGAATTAACGTAACAAATTAAAGCAAACTTTTAGGCAATTTTGAAAATGTGACGACCTCGTTTTCTAATTCTAAATGCAATGGGCCGAATGTCAGCAACGCCTAAAAACACATAAAGAAAATTATAAAATGGCGGCAATACAAATAAAAAAGAGTGTATTCATCAATATGATCGCTCTCATCATGACATTTCAATGCATGCAAGAGTGAGACAGAGAACAACAACAACAACAGCAAAACCAAGCAACAAGTCAAAATACTCATGCACACACATAAACAAACTCACAATGACGAGAAAATGAAAAAAATACTACAATTTATGTGTTGATCTCTGTGTTCACAAAAAGAAAAATATTTTCACTTTTTTGTTGCCTTTTTTCAATTTGTAGTTGCATACTTTTCATAGCATTTCATTATTAATAAACGCTTTAATTTTATTTTTTTCTTGTTTCACACACTTAGCTCAGTTTTTTTCTTTCTATGTATTTTCTTATTGTGCTTACTTAGCCGATTAGATAAAGGTTGTCAATATATTTTCCACTTTATTTTTTTCTCCGTAGCCATAAAAAATATCAATTTTCATGCCAACAAATTTTGCAGAATAAAGTGAAATTTCGTATTCACAAAATTCTTTTTTTCACTGTTTTTCAAATTGCTTATTTTCTAGGGCATCTTTTTGGGGAAACTATAGCTTTTAATTCACTTCATTTCGTAGTACAAAATTTACAATATCTCACTTTTCGTCTAAAATCTTGACTTTACCTAATTTTATGCTTTGAAATGTGGCAATGTACGATGAATTGGTGTTATCAACTGTTTATTATTTGCCATACCTTGACGTTTTTCTCTCTCCGTAAGTAGTGATCTCACATGAGTACACTTTATGCAACACTGTGTGCATGCATGTCAAAAGTAGCAATTAGTGGAAATACGTAACGTAAAGTGTTCGTAGTGGTAAACATGCTTGAGTAATTATCATTTGAATACTTTGAATTATTGAATACAACGGAAAAATTTGACCGCATCCTGAAAATTGGCTTCATTATTTTTTATTTATAATTATGATATATGAAAATACCATTTTTTAATTTAATTTTTTATTAGAGCGAAACATACTCTCATTGACAGAGAAAGAAGAGGTAGTATAATTTGGATTAGAGACGAGCTGAAGGAAGTCTTTATAGACGAACTCATGGTGGGACTTTTTATAGTCGAGCAGGAAGGAGTATTTATAGATGAACAAGAGGGGATATTTTTTATACGAGTAGAATGGAGTCTTTATAGACGAGCTGGAGGGAGACTTTATAGATGAGCTAAAGAGAATCTTTGTAGAGGGATCCTTAAAACTTCGGCGTCAGAATTAGACGTTACCTTAAAGATAGGGCATCGAAAAACCGTAGCCGCTCGATGGTCAGGCTTAAACCCGCCTGAAAAGGTTGGTCAACCTTTGGAGGATCTTAGAGATGTTTAAGGTTGTGCAAGTAATTCAAAATTTCGAGTCGCTATGGCTGTCAAAAACTCGGAATGTCCAATTACAGGCACGTCAGTTGAAAAAGGCGCCAAACGGCGTCCAATCTTTGTATTTACCTATGACAAAACATGGACCTTTAATGAAAATGTTCGATGACAGCTCGATGGTCATGGTTTAAACCGCCTGAAAAATCTCGTCAACATTTTGAGGATCTTAGAGATTTGAAAGATTGTGTAAGTAATTCAAAATTTCGAGTCGCTATGGATGACATCAGATCACCTAAATTGCAATTACTTTATATAAGGGTTATGCCAAAAAACATGGATAACATTTTTTACCCACCAAGAACCCGGAATGTCCAATTACAGACACGTCAGTTGGAAAAGGCGCAAAACGGCGCCCAACTATTGTATGGGTCTATGTGAAAACATGGTCCTTTAATTAAAATGTTCTGCAGTGAATGTGCTGATTACAAATACCAGTAATGCGGATCCGTTATATGTGGCCTATACCAAAACGTGGACCGGTGGTTTTGAGGGGGTCTCGGATGAAATTACCGAGTGATAATGATTTCCAACCTAAAGTAGCGCTATGGCGTTAGGTGACCGCGTGTTCATAATTAAAATTAGTCGGTAGTATTCGACTGATGTCTCTTTGGATATCCGGTTTATTCAACATGTTTTTAAGCTTTGATGCCAAGTCGGCTCTAACGCAGACCGACAAGAAGGTCTATCGCAGACCGAACTTTAAACTCCCCATTGGAGGAATAAACTCTGGGCAAATGTCAATGAATGAATCCGACAACAACGATCTTTTTCAACTGGTTCATGGAAAGGGGATTCTTCCAGGGGGATTCTTCTTGCAAAATATCACTGATCTAACCTAAATATGGCAAACTATTTCGTGATTTCAACTTACAATATCTAAATCGACATAGAATTTAATTCTGATCAAGAATATATCTACGTGGTTTTCGTTTTCAATGCAAAAACTTCAGATCAAAAACTCGAGTCGAACGATAAATAATTGGCTTAGAAATCATACAATGATAATTATACACTAAGTAAAACTAGGGTTCGATCTTAGGTTCCCAGAGCAACGCAAATGTTGCCAGACTACTTAGCGTTCTGACCCACAAAGAAACTTCCGACGATTGCACAAAGAATATTTGTATACCATGGGAGCAATTGCAAGTGTGTGGATTAGTTATCCTTGGCTACAACACAAGCCTGATTTGAAAAGGACTGTGTGTAGAGTGAAGAGGAATGTCGAAACTTGCTAAATTTGAATTTATTCGTAGATTAAACTTCGTGTTAACTGCGACATAAATACAAGTTATAAACTATATGTCTGATGAGCCGCTTAAGGGACAGCGATAATCGTCGCATACTGATGGGTGCGACTGGATTTCGTTTTCATTGTAAAACTTCGATAATTAGGCTCGACTCGAAAGATAAATAACGGACTTAAAAATATATCGCTCTTTTGCTGCAAGACAGGCATAACTTCAGAAAATGTGTTGAAGTTCCTCTGTCCTATATAAAGTGTAAGTACATTTACATATACGATTTTAAATCGACTCGATTAACGAAATCCAGAAATACACCCTAATTGTTTACACATACCTTTAATCATGATCTAAATGCGGATCAGCTGATGTTTGTTAATATACATACAAAATTATAAATTTGCTGCAAAAATATTTGTTTGCTATTTGAACATGAAACGAAGAATTACAACAATGGAAATGTTTTTGCAATGTTGCGATCGTTTTGAAATTAAAAAAAAAAACAAAGAGAAACACAAAAATTCTATAAATAATTGTTATGTCTGCTTTTCCACAGGCAAATTTTTATTTGGCAAATACTGAGTTTGTAGGCGAGAGGGGGCGAGGAAGAAAAACAAAAATTTGCCTGTTCAGAATTTGCCGTACACGCAAATTCTGCTTTGCTCTGTTCGTTGAAAACAATTTCGTTGACATTTCCTTTTGAACCTATTCGCTTTACTGACACACAGCCGGCTTTTGTTTACAAACCTGTTCCTTTAATTTTTGCAATTGAAATTTAATTTTTAATTTTTGCAATTTATATAATAAAGTATATAAAAAAATAAATAAAATATTAAAAAAAATCTTTAAAATGCAAACACTTTTGACTTTTATTTTCTTTCTTTTGTATTTTGATTCGCAAATTTGGCAAAGAAAAATTTGCTAATGGAAAAGCAAGCGAAAATTTCAAAAGAGAAAACAAAAAATTTGCCAAATAAAAATCTGCCTGTGGAAAAACAGACTATTTAATTTTTGTATTTGGTGACCGTTAAATTTAAAAACAAACAACATGTGAAAACAGTTGCAAATTTTGGTACATTGTGAGAGAGTTGTATTTTTTCGCACAAAAACCGCGTTGCATCTCAGTAGTATCATGATTTCGATCATGATTTAAAATAAACCATGCCGCACGATGACTAAATTTTGTATGGTAAATCATGGTCAATTTAGCCTGATTAAGGAAAAAAAGCCCTGATTCGTCCTTTAATCATGATCAAATGTTATATGTAAATCCGCTTTGTGAGTAAACTTTATATGGGACAGAGGAACTTCAACAGCTTCTACATTAGAGTGTATAAGAGATATTCATATAATTTTTTTACACAACATGAGGTCTATTATAGCGAACAATCGTGCATCATTAACTCGAAAATCACGTTTTTTTAAGTTATGCCTGTCTTACAGCAAATGAACGATATATGTTACGATAATTAACTAGATTCGTGCAGGTTTTGGAACGGAGCATATGAATATAATTAAATTACCTAAAAGTTTGCTTTATTTTTTAATTTACATTTGGTCTGTTCCCGTACTGCAAGAATCTACTAATTTTTACTACGATAACAAATTTTCCTTTATGATATCGAAAAAATAGTAAAATCTAGTAGATTCTTGCAGTACGGGAACAGACCAATTATTTTATCTATCATTGCTGTTGTCATTCCAAAATGATTAACAATAATATTCGACCACATCAGTTTGGTTGATAATGTGTACAACGCTTAATATTTACAGCTCGAAGTTTGGCAGAGTACGATTTCTAGACATTTGTAGAAATGTCAAAATTCTTAGTTGACTTTTTTAATTACATACAAACACTAAGCAGATAACCTGTGATGTTGAGTTTGACAGCTCGAGTTATATCATCGCTCACACAAAAGTTATTATTTTATAGTGGATAACATGACGAGTAATCATTTTACAGTGGATTTTACAATGGGAATATCGTTCCAAGTGTTCATTTCACAGAGTAGTTCATTTGAACAAATTCTGTTCTCCCTCACACTTCATTCGTAAATATTTGTCTCATCACATCGGTTTTCTTCTTTATCAGGCATTCTTTTTTCTCTCCCCCAGTTGCAGTAGCAGTTGGAACGTTTTTAATTTTGGTTGGTGACAAAGCATGCACAGAATGGCAACATTCACTAACAACATTCAGTCAGTTTGCTTTTGCTGTTCGTTGTGCTTTGGTGTGTGTTGTTTTGCCAATTCTTGCTTAAAAGAAGCGACAAAAAAATAATGGAAATGTATAAAATACGAAACTGAAAAAATTATTACAACATAAAATTTGCATTGCAAACGAAAAAAAGAAATCTATTTATATATACAATAGAAAACAACAGAAACAAACATGACTGCTGAATTGTCTGGCTTTAAAAGATTTCTACATTGGGGTCCAATTACAGCTATGAGTAAGTAAAGAAAACATTGTATGGAAAATTAATAAATTTTCCAATTGAATGCGATTGTTTGTAAACATTCAACATATTTTCAGTTGTTAACGTATCCCTAATTACCTATAGCTGCCTCCAAATCCATGTTATGTTAGGCCTTTGTTCTGATTTGTGTGTGGGTTTTATTTTGATTTGGTTGACTGGCTGGCAGTAGGAATTCTATGTTGGCTAACAAAGTAATTGTTGGTGTTTGTGTCCCTTACTCATTCATTTATTTTCATTCATGCCACATTAACTCCAACAATACTTCCGGTTGTGCGTCTACTCCGGATATTAAAATTCCACGTTAACATACCACACTAAAAAGACCACTTGTGGCAGTTTCATAAAAGTCAGCCAGCAATGATATTTTGTGGGGTTGAAGACTTTTGGTCAATTTTCCTGTCACCACCACAAGTACCCCTAACTGTAATAAAATTCTTTCTTTAGGTTATGGTGACATGCAAATGTTAACACCAACAGCAATAATAACAATAATACAATTTGTTGCCTTCCACCAACCAACCAAAAAATTACAAAGACAATTTCCCAATGTAGGCGTTGCATGGAATAAATTTGTTTGCAAAACTTTATGACAAGCTATACTTTGTTTTGGGGCAACAAAAACATTTCGTCACTTCGTTTTTTTTTTCATCGAAGTGTGGTTACATGCCCAAAATGACTTGATAGAAATTTGTTTGTTCGATGTTGTTTAACCTTTGACTTTGTTTGTTGAACTTCTTGCATGTCGCATCCATGAAAAATATACACCAATTTAGGTGGGTACTATGAATAATTTAATGAATCATAGTTCAATGGCGTCTTATCTACTCTTTGCTTTATATATTGGACTTATGTTGGATTTGATAGGTATTTTGCATATCATACGCCCTTGAAAGTTCAATGAATTAAAATCAATGGAGCCTTGTGCTGTTAAATTTGTAGACTTTCAGAGGGCCGCATTCCGTCCACATAAGTCTCATTGAACATTTGACCGACAGAAACCGGACCAAGTAATCCAATAGTTTCAGCAGTTTAACCCTTTGAGCCCCGAATTTTTTTCCGTAATCATAGAAAAATTCTCTGTTCACAGATTTAATGCAACTATCCTAGATAGGATATGGACAAAATTTGACATCGCTATATCCTTGCATTCGGGAGATACAGTACATTCTTTCTGAAAAATAAAAGCCAAATATCAAGAAAACCAAATGCAAAATCGATGAAAAAATCATTTTTAATTATTCTCTATATTCTGTTTTACAAGAATCAAAAATAATTCTGACGATAGAATTCGTATATTTCGAATACGAAGCGATTTAAATAATTTGGACTGTATATACAAATTAGTACTGTACACATTTTTGCCCTCTTCTCTGTATTAAAAAGCTCATAACTTTACCAAAAATTTGAATTTTTTAGATTTTTCTTCTGATGTGTGTCGTCCATAATCAGGCCTTGACATAGGAAATCCAAAGAATGCATATCTACTAGCTGTATAATAAATATAAGCTCTAAAACATTTTGTTGCCTGTGGGCAACATTGGGCCACAAAGGGTTAAGGAGAGTTTCAAGGCACTGTCAACAAAGCAAACAATAATAGATTAACACTCGGGAACGACCCGAGTTCGACTCCGCCACAGATTGTCAACCCAGCGACACCTGAACCAAACGAATGTTTTTTTCACTGGGGAGCAAATCATGTCGACAGCCTTGTTCACCATTCTTTTAATTCGCGCCGGCGTTGAACAAAACCCATTGCTTCTAATTCCACCTCAGTATGATGCAATTGGTGTCACCTGAGGAGTTGCTTCATTGCCAGTTGTTGTCTGCAGCCTACAACATCCAGAACCTTGTCTCTAACCACACCGAGAAGTTCTATACCTTCTCAGCAACCTGCCCAGAACTCCAAGTGGAACTGTTCGTTTTGCGGGGAAATCATAGGAAGAAATGTAACATCTGTAAGGTGCAATGTTTGCATTATCTGGTGTCATATGAGAAGATGTACCACCCTATTGCTGCATTGATAATCCCGCAATATTCGCTAGAATCCAGATGAGTCATTCCAGTTCCATTCTTTCCTTCCCTAAGGAAAGCCGAATTCCGGCTTTGTAGCCGATTGCTTAATAATAATCCAATAATATCCGCTAGAATCCAATAGAGTCCTTCCAGTATTACGGCTAGCACTCCGTCTAGCTTTCCATCGGGTAGTATTGCTACTAGTGTGAGTACTAGTGGCAGAGCTAGTTATTCGACTAGCTATTCCTCCAATAAGAGATGACCAACTAATAGGGTCGATCATTCCGAGCTGATATTCAACATCACAAATGCCACCTTTCCAAGTGATATCTAGCGTTGGCTTGCCAGTTACCTTAATGATCGGCAAGCCTTCATTAAGGGGACCCCCCCATTCTCGGGGTCAAAATTTTTGTTGATATAACACTGATTAAAGAATGTCTCTACAAAATTTCAAGTGAAAATCTCAAGAACTCTTGAAGATATAGCCGATTTATTATGTCAGCATCAAGTGACGGCTGAAGGGCTTCTCAAACTTTAAACGCGTTTTTCTCTAAACTTTTTTTTTGCGAATGGCGGGCACGATAACTCAAAAACTAATAATCCAATCGGTTCCAAATTTTGCAACGTTTCTCTGGGAGTGTATAGCTCTCGTATTAACTAGGATAAAGCCAATCGGTGAAGATCTTCCTTATTTTTTAACTTGTTTTTTGGTAAAAAATCTGCGATTTGGGGGGAGTTCCCTTAAGTTCCGTGGTCAAAAATCCGAATATCGCAAGATCAAAATGGGAGTACTGCAAAACGGGGCCCCATCTCCCATTTTGTTCAATATGTATCTGACGAAACTTCCCATTTCTCCAGCAGATGTTTTAGTGGTGTCGTTCGCCGATGACAGTACGGTTTTTTCGTCCGCCGTTAACATTGACGATGTAAGTGCAAAGTTTTCAACTACTTAGCCACAATAACCAACTTCTTTCCTGACCGAAATCTAAACTTATGTACTGGGAGGTCTACTGTGTCACTTTTCACTTCCTGGACGCGAGAAGTCAATTTAGAACTTAACATTTCCATCGAAGGGCGGATTGGTCTTCTATAACCTCTTTCATTTCTCCTCGAATTTCCAACATGAAAGCTAGGAATAAAGTTCTGAAAGTGTGGGCTTGCACCTTCTGGACAAGGACAATAAATCGTTGGTAACGACACACAAGGCCAAGCAAGGTTCCATCCTTAATTATGCTGCACCGGGACTGGATTTCCTTCCTTAGTGTCACACAATGGAGATCCTTGCAAACTACTCAAAGTAATGCACTCCGAATTGCAACCGGGTGCGTCCAGATGACGATCGTCGATCACCTCAATGATCACAACATAATGTGTTGTTGACTCAATCCCACGGCGGCCGGTTCTATGCACCGGATTGACTCGGAGGAATTCTTCGACCAAGGGCTGCCACCTCAACTACTACATGTTTGTGCCGTATTTTTTCATCATGGGAGAGGCGTTATATCCCGGGATGCCTGCTCCGAACTCTTCTGGTCCGCGCCGGGATAGAAAGAAACCCCGCACCTTGGTTCTGTTCCGTTTGTCGGAACCGCATCCACCACAGATCAACGTCGGTGAGATGCAATAGATGTATGGGATGGGTGCATTTCCGCGGCTGTTCGGGTCTTAGTCGACTCCAGGACTACTGTGACAGGAGTTATTTTGCTGCATGCTGCGTCAGCGTATCTCCCAGCGTGTTCTCATCATCTTCGCCGTCAACGTCTTCGTCTTCAACGACATCGTCGCCAACGCCAGCGTCGCCAACGCTATCGTCGTCAACGTCTTCGTCGTCGTCGGATTATGAGACACCCCCACAGTCTCCTCTACAGCAAACGCAGAGTCTAACACCACATGTTGCTGTAGTACGCCCCGGAAATGCATCGTTTTTGCAGTTTAACTGCGATGGACTGCGAAATAAAATCAGCGAAATCGTAGACTTTATGAATCGAAATAACATCATGGTCGCCGCGATCCAGGAAACCAAGCTGTCTGATACCTGTAGCTTGCACCGTTGCGATGGTTACAACGTGTTGCGAAAGGATCGCACTAGAAGCGGAGGTGGGGGACTTGCTTTCTTGTTACACCACTCTGTACAATACAGACCTATCTCGCTTGAGCTAGACTCTAGTGACCCATATATGGAGTGTATGGGGGTAGCAGTCAAGTGTGGTACTGCCGAGATAGAGGTGCTTAACGTGTACATCCCGCCGTTAAATAGCTGTACCCCGCGTTATTTACCCGACATTAGTTTACTTTTGGAGGTACTAGGGGATTTCAATGCCCATCATGAACTCTGGCATTCCGTCCTAGGTAATGACCAGAGGGGTACAGCGCTGGCAGAGCAAATTGACAGCTCCTCGTTTTGCACGGTGAATGAGGATGCCCCCACGAGAATTAGAGGAGATTGCCACAGCTCGCCGGACATCACCATTGTGGCACCAGGTCTGATTAATGACGTAATCTGGCAACCCGTCATTTCTCTTGGTTCAGACCACCTCCCCATCATCGTCTCCGTAAATAGACCACCCGATTTCATAACCTCTGAACGCCGAACTTTCCTGAACCATGGTAAAGCTGATTGACAAGGTTTCAGAGATTTAACCAATCGCCGCTTCAGAGAGCTGCCCATTCCCTCAGATCCTCGGGTAGCTGAGAGGAAATTCCGAGACATCATCACTGCTGCAGCCGCCCGCCATATACCTGCTGGTCGTATACCCGAAGTGAGACCAAACTTCCCAGCAGAAGCGACGGTGCTTGCGAATGAGCGTGATGAGCTTCGCCGTACAACACCTGAAAACCCAAGAGTGAAGGAACTCACCCTTGAAGTCAACAGGTTAGTATGCGAACACAAGCGGAAAAGTGGCTAGACCACCTGAAGCTCTGCAACATTGGAGCCGCAACAAGTAAATTGTGGGCAACGGTTAAGTCACTCTCGAATCCTGGAAGGAAGGATGATAGAACGGCTGTCACGTTTAACGACGTAACGTTGACTGATCCGAAGAGGTGCGCGAGTTTTTTTAACCGGCAGTTTATTGAGCACCCCGAGAGTGACATGGCGAAAAGGAGTGTGCTTCGTCGCATTAGAGCCCTCCGAGCCGAGGAGGTACCACCACAATTTTCGAAGGATGATGTTGCAGATGCCATTCGAAACGCTAAATCATCCAAAGCGTTGGGCCCGGATGGAATCTCGATGATAATGCTGAAGCAACTGGATGAACCTGGAGTGGAGTATTTAACTGCTGTTCTCAACCTGTCGGTAGCCACCCACATTGTTCCTGAAGCCTCGAAAATAGGCAGGGTGGTCCCGCTACTGAAGCCAGGCAAGGATGCCAGCAGAGGGGAATCGTACAGGCCGATTTCCCTTCTGTCTCCAGTAGCAAAGACGCTTGAGTCACTACTCCTCCCTCTGATGAGAAGTAGGTTTCCAGTCCCTCAGCACCAACATGGATTCCGGAGAATGCATAGTACGACCACAGCATTACACGCCATAACCACACATGTAAGTAGAGGACTTAACCAGAACAGGCCGTGCGACAGAACAGTCTTGGTGGCTCTTGACTTATCGAAAGCCTTCGATACTGTCAATCACGCCAAGCTGTTCGAGGACATAGAGAAGACCAACCTCCGGCCTAGTTTGAAACGTTGGGTAATCAATTACATGTGTGGTCGCCAGTCATATGTGGAATTCAGAAACAAGAAGTCTAAACCCCGTAGAGTGAAACAGGGAGTTCCCCAAGGTGGGGTCTTATCTCCGGAACTGTTTAACCTCTACCTTTCTGAAATTCCACAACCACCGGACGGCATTGAGATCGTAATGTACGCGGATGATTGTACGATCATGGCGTCGGTCCCTATTATCGATGACATTTGTGAACGGTTAAATGTCTACATAGCTGATTTAGTACAGTTCTTCCATCTGAGGAATATGAAGATATCCGCCGCCAAATCCTCAGCCACTCTGTTCACCACATGGACGGCTGAAATGAAGCTCCCTCTGAACGTCATGGTCGATGGTGTAATAATTCCGACCACTAATTACCCAAAAATTTTGGGAGTAACGTTCGATAGCTTATTTAAGTCGTCCGCGCAAGCCACCGCTATTTGCGATAAGATGAGAAGTAGGAACAAGGTCCTCAAGTCGCTTGCCGGCAGCTCTTGGGGTGCTGATAAAGAGACCTTGTTGACCTCTTACAAAGCAATAGGTCGGTCGGTGGTAAGCTATGCGGCGCCAGTGTGGTATGCGAATGTAAGCGATACGCAGTGGAAGAACATACAAACCTGCCAGAATGCCGCCCTGAGAACTGCGACAGGGTGCCTCCTTATGACGCCAGTGGACCATTTACATGAGGAGGCTATGGTCTTACCCGTACATCGGCACAATAGGATGTTGTCGATGCAGTACCTGCTTGGGTGTTATCGCAGGAATCATCCATGTCATAATCTTATGGATAGAATTCCCCCACCCAGGCACGTAAGGAGAGACCTACATGATCTAGAGAGAGAGGTCCAACGGTATAAAAGAGAACCCCTAGATCATGAGGCTTATCGAGCAGGAATTACCAACATTCATACGGAAGCAGTGACCCAGGCAATGCACCAATACCGTGTGAATGCTGTACTTGGAGTCCACCCACCACCTATAGCAGCAGAAGAACGTGAGCTGCCTAGACAAACGAGAGTGGTTCTAGCCCAACTAAGATCAGGATGGTGCAGCCGCCTCAATTCGTATTGGGCCCGAATTGACAGCGCGGTTCCAAACACATGCCCTGCATGTGGGTTTGGACCTCACGATACGCTGCATCTCTTTAACTGCCCTGCTAAACCCACTCATCTGTCTCCGGAATCTCTTTGGACGCAACCGTTACAGGTTGCAACCTTCCTGAACCTGGAAACAGAGGAATCAGAACCAGATCAACTTAATACAACAAACATGTAGATAGTTGCTACAACAACAACAATGTGTTGTTGACTAGACAGTTCCTGCTGACATCTATCTGCCGGTTCATTCCAACCGTCACACAGTGATGATATACACCTGATGATGATACACCTCAGAGACACATCGTCGAGAATACTCCTGCCATAGTCTTGTGGTTAGTCTTATATTATGGTATTTGCAACCGACCTTTGAATCATGGTATTTTGAAACCGTGGATCGGACCACGGGGATTGTCAGTTTGGCAGTGCCTTCATGCAGAGGGGTAGGGATCATGGAGATAGTCATGCAGATCCTATAACCTGATAAATTCGTGCCTAATTTGTAATCCTCCTAATTTCTTGTCTCTTACCAATAGCTATAACATTATCTCTTTTGCTTCTCTCCCTGGAACATTATTTCGTCCTTGCTACCCACATTCACATTTTAACTTTAAATAGTCTGTCCCACATTGCCTTTCAAGGAAAATCTTTTCATTAAAACACCTAATAATTTCATTATTGCAATAATGGTCCCGCTGTTGCATGCTCAACAACACTAATTGTTTGTTGCAATAGTAGTAATTGTATTCGACCGAACGCAACACAACAACGTTTTATTCTCATTATTAGCCACCACTAATTCTAACACTTAACAAGAACTTCGTTTCATCCCCTCTCCAACAATTTCTTTTGCAGGTATTATAAAATGCATAACGCTGACAACTTTATATATGAACTCAATGTGGTGGCCGCCTAATATTTCATTGGGCGCATTTGTAAATCAAGCCATATTCTTAATGCTTTCATCGTTGGCAACCTTTAACTATGTGATGGCCACAATAACGGGGCCAGGTTTATTGCCACTAAAATGGAAACCACAGGTAAGTCGAACATTATATGGGTAGTTTGGGTTTTTATTTTGTTTTCTAATTTGTAATACTGGTTATTAATTTTGTAGCAATTAGTCGAAGGCAAAATGACTGACTGCTAATTAGAGGTCATAAATTGTGGAAGTTAAACAGATTAATTAGAAGCTAGTTTGATATAATTATTGACTTCCTAATATAATGTTAATGAAGGAATTAAGAAGGATAGAATGAACTTGAACTTGATAGTACGCATTTGGAAAGAGGCGATTTTATATTAATTTTGACCACGCCTTTGACCTTGTCAAAGTCGGTCAAATGGATCTTGACACGTTGCACCTAGGTTCGTTGTGCCAAAGTTCATAGGCTCTTTCGTCGAAGAACGCCTCAAAGACATATGGGTGGTTTGATTGAGTCATCAATTGCTAGATCTGTGGATTGAGATCTTCGACTAGCTAGTTCGTCCGCTCTTTCATTACCCAAGATGTCTCATTGTCCTGGTACCCAACACAACCGATAGCTGTAAGTAAGTTCTTCCAAAGCTGCTCTACACTTGAGGACGGACTCAGATTTGATGTAACAATATTTGATGGCTTTATGAGCCGCTTGACTATTCACGAAGATAGTCACCGGTTCAACGACCTCTGCATCCAGACTATTTATCAATTCCGCTGCCTTCCAAATCGCGAAGATTTCAGCTTGGAAAACACTAAAGTTGCAATCCAGCTTTTAGGTTAACTCAATCCAGCTTTTAGATTAACTCTTGCACAGTAGACGCCCGCCCCTGTACCTTCTTCCATCTTGGAACCGTCTGTATAGAAGGCCAGACCGTTCAGATGACGGTTACTTCGGTTCCAGTCGTCTCTACTAGGAATAACGACATATACATCGTCAAATCTCAGGACTGGTGATATATAGTCGCTTAGTTTTACGCGTTGGTCCAATGTTATACCTGGCTCGTTCAAGATACGGCCATGCCCAAAGGTACAGTTTCGCCATAGGTTTTGTTTATGCAGCCTTAGGCGTTCTGACACTTAATGCTGAGGCCCAGGGCCTAAAATTCAGCATTGCGTTTCAGGTCTGCTTGTGGCGTACTCCTCCTATAACTAAATTCGAGGCGGTTCTTAGTACCTTATCTAATTTACTGGAGATCGACTTGTGGCGCAGACAGTTCCATCACACAAGAGAACCATAGGATAGGATACCACAGTGTTATACAACCATCGTATTTGACAGTCAAGGTACATTGTTTCAGGAGATAGATGAAGTTGCACTCCATCCAGTGTTGGTGGAGCAAAAACCAGTTTCGTCCTTCTTGGATTTACACCAAGTCCGTTCGTTCTGGCCCAACGCGACTGCGTCAGTAAGGCTCTTTGCATAAGCTCCGAGATTGTTGATGGAAATTTTCCAGAAATCGTCGTCCGCATAAGCAACAACTTTGATACATTCCATCTGGTCCTGGCGATTTATACGGTTTGAATGTATTGACTGTCCATCGTATCTTATTTTTGTTAACCACCTTGCCAATGAGATCCTAATCCGGAGGCACAAGAGGCTGAGTGTCATCACGTTCACCGTCGATGGTACCCATATCTTTGCAACCTGGGAAATGAGTCTCAGCTAGTAGATTAAGAGTATCAGAACCAGAGTCCGCCCACGCTCCATCCTGCTTCTTGATACTTCCGATGGACTTCGGATCCTTGGATAGGAGTCTTCGAAACCTAGCTGCGTCATTGACTCCTTCTATCGACTTACAAAGACTTTTTCTTTGCGCGTTTTATATCACTCTTGTATTTGTTGAAACTAGCTCTGTAGGGATTCCAATCAATGTTGAGTTTAGATTTTTGCGCCCTCTTGTACAGTCGTCTGGTCGCTTTTTTGAGCTCAAATACAAATTTAAATTGAACCAACACAAAATTATATTATTTTATTACAATATTTATAAAGCCACCAAACAACCAACCACACTTTCTTAAATTTTTTTTATTGCATTTAAAAACGCATTCTGCCTTTGTCGGGTCCTTATGACTGTCATATGGTGTTCACTTTTTTGTGTGTGGTTTTTCTTCCGTGTTCCGGTTGAGTCGTGCAAAACAAATTTTGTCGCACACAAAGAGTTTAGTCGGGGAAATTTAGTTTAGATTGTCGATGTCGTCGTCGAATAGACCATTTTACACAAATAAAACGTTCCATTAGGCAGCAGCATATAATACACAATGTAATAAATATCCTTTTAACACGCAATTTAAGATTGGATCAAACCCCTGACGGTTTAGGGTTGTATACAAATTAATAACAAAATAAACCGCAACATTTTAAAGCGTTAAAACATCCCCCGTCTTAAAGCGGGGAATGAATATTAATGTACAGCAGTTAGCAGTTGTGACATGAAATATAAATCATAATTTCCATATAGGGAGATATTTAAGAATAATTAAATTATTTTCTTTTCATTAATATTATTTGTTTAAACATTTTTTTGTATTTCCTACAGGATCTATCTGTCACGGATCAATTACAATATTGTAAAGTATGTGAAGGCTATAAAGCACCCAGATCTCATCATTGTAGAAAATGTAAGTCACAATTTTTTTATCTAACTAAAATCAAATTTAATTTAATAATTATTTTAATTTTTATTTTCCTTCTAGGTAATCGTTGTATTAAGAAAATGGATCATCATTGCCCGTGGATAAATCATTGTGTTGGTTGGGCAAATCATGCCTATTTCACCTACTTCCTTTTGTTCTCCATCATTGGTAGTTTACATGGTGCCGTAATATTGTCTTGTGCCTTTTATCGTGGCATCCATCGTTATTGGTATTTGTCACGTGGCCTGGTGCATTTGGCAACAGTTCAATTTACTGTCTACAGTATAATTATGTGTATATTTGCAATGGGTTTAGCCATTGGTGTGGTCATAGCATTGGGCATGCTATTATATTTTCAGGTGAGTTATGGAGAATCTAAATTATAATTTTTTTATTTGAAAATTATAGTTATTGTGATACGAGTAAATGGGTTCTACTTTTCTGGAGTTCATGGTGTTTGAATGCCATGGAGAGGTAGACGAATTCGGAGAGCAAAGCTATATAGTATTTCAGTTCATTCCGACGATTCTGAAATTGAAATTGTCAATGTATATATTCCACCCGACAACAGCATTGCGGCCAGTTATCATCCAAGCGTCATCCATTTGCTGCAGGGAGATAATAAAATTGTTCTTGGCGATGTCGAATCTCATCAGGAAATATGGTTTTCTCAACTTCCTAATGATCCTCGCGGTATTCTTATTGCAAACCAGACGAGACCGATTTCGCTTCCATCAATGAGGAATCCTCTACCAGAGTCATTGGCAGGTGTTCGAGCTCTCCACTCAAACCAAGGTCACTTTAAATTCAGACCATATTCACCATCCAGGTCACTGTAGAGAAATCCTGTGATTTCGTGGATCCCGATTAGCGTACTTTTATGAATTATAATGAAGCCAACTGGCACGGCTTCATAAAATTAAATGTGTAAAGCTTAAGTCGTATACCGCCACCCTTATGTGCAAGAAAGTGTTAGAAAATATTCCGTAATTTTTTATAAAAGTGGCAAACGCTTCATTCATAACAGCTATGTTTTATAATTAGAAGTCTATCTGGTGCCGTCAATTCATTGAACAGGATCAAGCCAGCAGTTATAAGGATATACAAGAATCTTAAACGAGACTTGCTGTCCCTATCATTCACATTCAGACAGATAGAGGGAAATCCAAAATCCTCGAATTATCGATTTCACAATTGGTAATTTCTGATATTTTGAAAGATGCTGGATTATTCCAATTCTAAAACCAGATAAGTTCGTTAATTATGGGGATTCATAACGTCTTAAGTCCTTTAAGGCAAAATTTTCAGCTTCAATTTCCTCTACAATCGGTGACTGACCCGGTGCAAAAGCTACACTCATAACTGAAGGAGAAGATGAATCGCCCAAAGGCTCGGCACAGACCGAATACATAAAAACACTACTCTCTACAATTATCGACATGTTGGTAGAGTTTATCGACAGTCGGAATACGACGGTGAATATGAAGGGTGTAGGGCGCGCATATAACTATATAGGAAATCTTGTGAGGAGCGCACCCTATGAAATGAACGACGATCCGGCGATTCGTGATCGGTGTATGGAGATATTGGAGAATAAATCCCGAAGTGCTATATAAAGGCTATAATGAAAAATTGGATGAAAAAACACGTGATGTGGCGGAGTTACGTGCAAGAAATGGGTAGCTAGAAGTTGCTCTGAAAACAACGGTTGCAGGCAAAGGATGTGGAGGCTAAAAACAAATGCGAATTTGGAACATCAGGTTCACGAACTTAAAGGTGATTTAGTGAGAAAGTCCAGCCGGCAGTAAAATCATGGGAAAAGGCGGCAAATAAACTATGGGAAAGTGTGGCTTCGTCGGAGAAAGCGTATCGAATAACGGCTAGCCTTGAAGGCAGGTTGCAGGCAAAGGATGTGGAGGCTAAAAACAAATACCGCCAATTGGAAAAGCAAGTTCACGAATTTATAGGTGATTTAGTGGCGGCTGAAGAGAAAGCCGAGTCAGCAGTAACATCATGGGAAAAGGAGAAAAGGAAATCCTGAAATAGAAAACATTCAACAAAGTGAAACAAAAATAGATCCCTAGATCTAGTAAAATCATGGGAAAAGGAGGAAAATAAACATTGGGAACGTGAAGAGAAAGCTCAGTCAGCAGTAAAATTATGGGAAAAGGAAATCCTGAAAATAAAAAACTCCAATCTTATGTTAGTGTACAAATATTCAACAAAAAAGTATCTTCTCTTAAGTGGAACAAAAATAGATCCCCAGGCTAAAAACAAATGCCGCAAATCAAGTCTACAAACTTAAAGGTGATTTAGTGGCGGCTGAAGAAAAAGCCCAGGAAGTAGTAAAATCATGTGAAAAGAAGGAAAATAAATAAAGTGTGGCTTCGTCGAAGGAAGCGCGTCGAACATCGGCTAGCCTTGTAAGCAAGTTGCAGGCAAAGGGCGTGGAGGCTGAAAACAAATGCCGCGAATAGGAAAATCAAGTTCACGAACTTAAAGATGATTTAGTAGCGGCCGAAGAGAAACCCCAGGCAGTAGTAAAATTTGATTTAGTGGCGGCTGAAGAGAAAACCCAGCCAGCAGTAAAATCATGGGAAAAGGAGGAAAAAAACTTTGTGAATTGTGGCTTTGTCGTAGAAAGCGCATCGAACAGCGGCTAGCCTTATTTTGAGGGTTTGCAACTTCTGGAATATTAAATTTTTATATATACTCTACCTTATCGTGGAGAGTATAAAGAATTCCAATTCCGAATTAAAAATAGTTTTCCAAATAACCAAATAACATTATTTAAAAAAACACATTCTCTATAAATATATTTTGTAGCTATTCTTTTAATTTTTTTGTCGATATTCGTTTCAGATGAAATCAATTTTGAAAAATCAAACCGGTATCGAAATGTGGATCATTGAAAAGGCCATGTATAGGCGTATGCATTATCCCGATCTTGATGAATTTGTTTATCCCTACGACTTGGGCTATAAGGAAAATCTACGACAGGTTTTCAAAAATGAATGCGTTGCAAAGGGTTTGGGAATCGAGTGGCCAGTTATACCAGGATGTGACCAATATACACTAACAGTAAGTGCAAAGCAGTTAATAACTAATAAATACCTTTTTTAACCATCAATATTATCCTCCATACTTCCCAGCGTGAACAAATTGCTCAAAAATGTGAAAAACGTGCACGCACACGAACCTACAAATGTATACGCAAGGCAACCGGTAGCTATTTACCGCTCTTCTCTCAGGGATTCCGTGTTTGTTTATCACCACCCTGTACCGATGAACCGCGTCTGCGTTTGGAGCCCGAGGACATAATAAAAGTAACACGTTTCCGTAAACATTGGCTGTTTGGTGAACGTGTTGTCAGCGACAAGGAGAAGGAGGTTGATGCAAAAAAGATGCCATTACGTGGCTGGTTTCCACGACGTTGTGCCATTGAATTAATACTACCCAGTCAGCCGGTGACATCGGAGGAGGAGGAAGAGGCTAGTAATGTAAATGAAAAGCCTGTCAATGGAAAAGCTAAGAAATTAGAAAACGGCCATTCACGTAGAAAAGTACAGCAGCAATCACAACAAAATGGTCATAAGAAAAATAACTGACGTTAGATGTAAATGGAAAGAAGAAGGAACTATGTAAACTACACACACACACACGTGAGAGACTTGATGAAAACAAAACCCCCTGGACAAAACGAAAAGAAACTAGTTTTTGTCCTTTTTAATATAGCATGAAAAATATAGTGTTTATGTGAATATTTTTTAAGGAGTTTTTATTAAACAAAAAAATATATATGTATATTCTCTTTTAGAGAAAAAAAAAACAAAACAAAAAATATGCGAAAATATAAAATTTGTTTGAAATCAGAGATTATAAATGAAAAGGAGGTAAGTTTGAGCTAGAGTGGAAGGACGAGAAAATATAGGTGGGATACTGTAGTGTACAGATAGATTTGTTCTTCGATATTTGTTTGTTTGAGATCCTCTCAACTGAAAACTGATGTGCAGGATTTAAATCATGTCCATCAATAGATGGCTCTGACTACTGGGGGACTATTAAAATTGCACACATTATTTCTTTTTGTCATAACCTTTTTCCGTAATGTAGATATTAAAAAAAATTGGTACAATCGTATACTTCCTTATAAAGTAAATAACATTTTAAAATTAGTATATTATTAATATGAAATTGGAGTTACAAGATTAGGTTTAAAAAAATTATGGAATATTACATTGTGTGGGAGGTTTCAGAAGGAGTGGACCGATTTTCCTCATCTTCGATCTTACTTTAAATTTGAAAGAAATATTAAAAAATTTTCAAAATGTTGACCCTTTAGTGGGGGATGGTACAATATACAGACTTGGTAAATATATTAATTTGTGCAAAGATTGTTTGCAATCGGATATTCCGTTCGCATGATATTACAAAATTAATGTTTAGCAATATTTTGACCATTTTGTGTAGGAGGAGTGGACCCATATATCCCATCTTCGATTCGATCGATTTAAGTTTGGTAGAAATATGATGTGCAAAGTTTGGATGAAATTGGTTACTCCCTTTGAGAGATGTCGTGCCCACCAGCCACCCAGACATACACAAACACAGACTGATGATGAAAGGACATTTGTAAATCGACTGCAAATTATCTGAAAAGGATTTGGAGTTAAAATCCATATTTCGATGAAGCACATTTTTGTCATAGTATAGTGAATATACTCTCATTAGCCATAAGACTGAGTGTATAAAAACATGGCCGATCAAGAACGTCGTTCTAAATTCAATTCAAAGCGCTATGCTAAATTTCGAGTAAATCGAGCGAGGATAGTATTTTTACTTTAGTCGAAATTTTACATATCTTTGAACTTTCACATAATGCTAATTTTCTCTTATATAATCAATTTTTATTTATTTATTGGCAATATGAAATAAAACTTTCGAATTCCCTCTAACCATTGGTGCAAAATTTACGAAAATCGGCTAAGTGTTCGCTGAGTTATTTGCATTTGAATTCATGGGTGTTCCTTCCGGACTACGCACAGACTGTGTTTTTTATTGGCCTAAAAGTATGCTACAATTTTCTTTAAAAATACCACTGAAAGAATTTCTACCCTTAAAAAAGAATCCATTTTTGAGTGGTTTTTCATTTTCGGGTAATAGGCGCCCAGCATCAAACAGTTAGTAGATTTCGCAACATGCTTCAATTCAAATGCAAATAACTCAGCAACGTCTTAACCGATTTTCATAAATTTTACACCAATGGTTAGAGGGAATTCGAAAGTTTTATTTCATATTCCCAATACAAAAATAAAAATATGTTATATAAGAGAAAATTAGCATTATGTGAAAGTTCCAATATATGTAAAATATCGACAATTTTTAAACATTCCAGCATAGGGTGGAGTGTATATTTATCACTATTCATCGTAGACCCCAAAAAATAGACATATTCTTCATTAGAATAAAATTCTATGTCGATTCAATATACGGTATTTTGAAGCTTTTTTGGCAGGGTATTCATCACAGGTTATGGTAGCTCCCATATAAAGGGAGCTACCCAATATTCGATATTTCGAAGCTTTTTTGGCACGATTTTCAATCTAATCAGCTGAAATTTGTTGTTAGAGCATTGAATTGAATAAGTCTTCTTACTAAAAAAGTATCAATTGTTAAGGATATTTCTCCATATAACGCTATATCCAAAATTTCGATATTTTTGCGATTTGGGACTCATGTTTCAATCAAATTGACGACTATAAAATTATATTTTGCATTCTCATTGAGTAGAAAATCTCCCTACCAAAAATGATCAATATTGGACCAAATTTCTCAGTAGTCCCCGCCATAAAATGGTACCTGTATTTTTCGATATCCCGGGGGCTTGGACACGTTGTCCATCCTAATTGGCTATAACTTTGTTTTTTTTTTTAGGTTCTCTTGGCGTGACATTTCATCCTACGAAAAAAAGATTTTATGTTAACGGAGCACAAAAGTCCTTATATTTCATTCGATTTGCACGAAATTTGGCATAACGTACTGAATAGAGTCTAGAATAACGTGTGTTAAGTTTCGTGAAAATCGATTCAGATTAAGATATAGCTCCCATATATATTTTCGTTCGATTTTAGATAAATGGTGCACCACAGTACCTATATATCTTTCGATTTGGACGAAATTTGGCATAGCTTACAGAATTAAGTCTAGAATGATGTGTGTTAAGTTTTGTGGAAATCGGTTCAGATTTAGATATAGCTCCCATATATATTTTCGTCCGATTTTATGTTAACGGAGCACAAAAGCCCCGATATTTTTTTCGAATTGCACGAAATTGGGCACAGCGTACTGAATAGAGTCTAGAATGATGCGCGCTAAGGTTCGTGGAAATCGCTTCAGATTTAGATATAGCTCCCATATATATTTTCGTTCGATTTTAGATAAATGGTGCACCAAAGTCCCTATATATCTTTCGATTTGCACGAAATTTGGCATAGCGTACTGAATAGAGTCTAGAATGATGTGTGTTAAGTTTCGTGAAAATCAATTCAGATTAAGATATAGCTCCCATATATATTATCGTTCGATTTTATGTTAACGGAGCACAAAAGCCCCTATATTTCTTTCAATTTGCACGAATAGAATAGAGTCTGAATAGAGTCTAGAATGATGAAAATCGATTCAGATTTAGATATAGCTCCCATATATATTATCGTTCGATTTTATGGGAATGAGTCTAGAATGATGTGCGCTAAGTTTCGTGAAAATCGCTTCAAATTTAGATATAGCTTCCATATATATTTTCGTACGATTTAATGTATATTTAGCTCTAAAGCCTCGAGGTTTCTCCGATTGGCACAATGCACAATGAAATTAATATAATTTAATATCTGGCAAGTTTCGGTTCAGATTTGGATATAGCTCCCATATATATTCGTCCGAATTTAGCATAGGTTGCACAAAGGGATGTGTATGGATTGCTGTTAGTCGGTTCACTTGTAGATGATGATCACATATTTGAGTTCGTTCAATTCACATGTCAATGTTCCATCGAAAGGGCAACGTCTGTTAGAATAAATATGTGGAATATGCCCAAAGTGAAGATAAAGGGTATCAGTCCGACTTTAATACTTACTTTCCTTATTGGTTTCTGGTATTATTTTTATTCAGCAAATTTCTAAAACACTTAACAATTCCAAAAACACATACAAAACACACACACACTGACAAATAAAACACCATGCAATCATTTTTATTTCTTTTTTGCTACATACATTCTTGATGTTGTCTGCTTGTTTATTTATTGACTTGATTTTATATCTTCGATTTTTCGAATAAATGTTAAAAATTAAAAAAAATATATGTATAATAAATCAATAAATTCGTTATTCGTATTATTATACACACGGTGTGTATATGTGTAGGTTAAAATAAAATAAATAAGGGGGTACACAATTTTGTTGAACACTAAATAATAACAAATTTATATGAGGAGTTTAAATGACACACAAAAAATAATAGGGATGGGGGAGGTTTGAAATATACATTACCAAACGTTTGCATTTCAGTTTTTTTTAGAAACCTTTCGACATATAAAATAGACAAAAATAGTACAAAAAAGGGTAACACTTGGTATTTTTTTTTTTTTTTGTTTAAAAAATTAGCACGATAGTTTTTTTTGTTTGTTTTGTATAGCAATTAAAAATTACGAAATTACATAAATATTATATATATAGTTATTTAAAAAAAGTAATATGTTTTGTGTATATAGTTGAATAGAATAGCATAGCATAATATAAATATAATAGTAGAGCATGTATGTATTTAGGTTTGTTGTTGTTATTACAATAATAATAATAGTTATGAAAAGGGGGAGGAAATAATTTAATTGTTATTTTTTTTCATGGGGAGAAAAGTATTAATATTAATAATTATAAATGTATAAATATACATATAAGTTAATATAAATTAATTTGCTTACAAATTTTTATTTTATTTTAGAATTTACAATACTTTCGACAGTAAAGTATTCAACATTCAGTCACAACTTGGGACTTACAAAAAACACAAGAAAAAATCCAAAATGAAATTTTTGAACAAAAAAATACAAAAACACATTACACACAATCTTATCCAAGTCCTATATCTTATCCTTTTCTCTTTTTTTCAGAAAAAAAACTTTCCAATTTTGTTTTCCAAAAAAAGTAATAATAATTGATATATATTTGGCTTTTCACATTGTCTTTGCAAATTTTTTAAGTTAGGGTGAAGATGAAAACGAGGTTTTTTGTATTTAAAAACATAGTAAAATATTTAAATGTTTTAATTAATTATATTTTAAGTGAATTTTTTTCATTTTCCTTTTTTTGGGGAATTTGTGTTTTTTGTTTCTTTTGTGATTCATCATAGTCCATTTGAGGGGTTTGTCTGTTTTTGTTTTTTATTATATATTATATATATAATTAAATGTTTAAATTTAGTTTTTTGTGATTGTTTAAAAAAAATGTTTAATTTTTTTTTAGTTTACTAATTGATTTCGATGAGGCATTTTGAGAAGGCTTTTCATTTTCCATTTCACTGTTTGGTTTCATTGGTTTTTTCCATTCCAGTAACTAATTGCATTTCGAAATTTTGTATTTCTAATTATGGTAATTTGGGTTTCCTTGTTAAAAACGGGTTCACTTAACGGTTTCCTTTTGGTTTCATCACTTGGTTCCTTTAGTTTTATATTTTTTACATATTGCCGAAATCAGTGCATTTCAAAATAAAATCCGAACACTTCAAATCTGAAAATAAAAAAAAGAATATTCTTAATTTTTAAAATCCATTAAATTAGAATTTTTTAGGGGTGGATTTTTTAAAAGGAATATTTTTAGCTGCCAACACAGCCTTAGGCGTGGATAAAAGACTATTTTTTTAGCCACCAACACAGCCTTAGTCTTGGATTTTTATTAGTAATATTTAACAGCTACCAACACCGCCTTAGGCGTGGATTTTTAAAGGACTAATTATCAGCTATCAACACAGCCTTAGGCGTGGATTTTTTAAAGGACTAATTATCAGCTATCAACACAGCCTTAGGCGTGGATTTTTTAAAGGACTAATTATTTAGCCACCAACACCGCTTTCGGTTTGGATTTTTTAAGGACTAATTATCAGCTAATGGACTAATTTCCGGCTACCGAAACAGCCTTAGGCTTGGATTTTTAAAGGACTAATTTTCAGCTACCAACACAACCTTAGGCGTGGATTTTTAATGGAATAATTTCCAGCTACCAAAACAGCCTTAGGCTTGGATTTTTAAAGGATATATTTTCAGCTACCAACACAGCCTTAGGCGTGCATTTTTTAAAGGACTAATTTTCAGTTACCAACACAGCCTTAGAAGCCCAATTGGTCTTCTCATAGAAGACAAAAAGGTCTTTTTATGGAAGATCGAAAGGTCTTCTCAAAGAAGAACAAAAGGTGTTCTCATAGAAGACCAAAATGTCTTCTCAAAGAAGAACAAAAGGTGTTCTCATAGAAGACCAAAAGGTCTACTCAGAAGAGACCAAAAAGGTCTTCTCATAGAAGACCAAGAGGTGTTCTCATAGAAGACAAAAAAGGTCTTCTCATAGAAGACCAAAATATCTTCTCATAGAAGAACAACAAATTTTCTCACAGAAGACCAACAAATTTTCTCACAGAAGATTTAGGGGTTTATCAGCTCTAAAAGTAGATACAGTTTTTTTAGGTAAATATCGGAGTTCTAAAAGTAGATTTTTTAAAAATTAATTGTAGAGAACTATCTGAGCTATATAGGAGGATTTTTTAAATATAGTTGACTATATGAACTATATTGGAGGGCTTTTTAAACTTTTTTTAAGTCTTGTTTTTTGATGACCAAACCCCTTCTTTTTAGAAGGCCAAAAGGTCCAAATGATCAAAAGGTCTTCTTTTAAGAAGACTCAAAGAAGACCAAAAGGACTTTTCAAAGAGGACCAAAACATTTTCTCATAGAAGAACAAAGATTAAAAAATCTTCTTTCTAGATCACCAAAAGATATTCTGTTTAGAAGTCCGAAATGTCTTTTTTTAGGAGACCAAAAGCTCTTCTTTTTTGAAGATCAAAGAGTCGGCTTTTTTGAAGAACAAAAGGGACTATCTGAGGACTAAAAATTATTTTTGGGGACTATCTGAGCTCTAAAAGTATATATTTTGCAACTTACATTTGATTCTTCATTATCATTCGATTGTCCTCGTGACGATGTACTTAATTGTATTTTACTACTGCCACTACCAGATGCCATATCACCAACACCACCACCACTGGAACTTGCACCTCTCAATAGATCCGTGGTAACGGCTAAATCATGTGTTGAGGAGGATGGCCGCAAGGCGGCACGTTTGGCAACAATTTCCAACATTTCATTTAATATGGCTCCCTCGGCAGCAACATCTGCTGAACTTTTATCGAGTTCTGGAAGAAAAAAACAAAATCAAAATTATTTTTTTAGAATTTTAAAATAAAAAATGGAAAAAACTTAGTTTTGCAAATCTAATGAGGGAAGGAAAAAAATAAGTTTGGACTTACTGTTACACGACAAACGCATATTAAGTTCTTCCTTTAGCTGGGCATGTCGGTGTTCCAATTGCAGCTCCTGTTGACGTATGCCAAGTTCTTCATCGCGTTTTCTACAAAAAAAGAAAAGATAATTATTTTATAAATGAAATGAAAATAAATGATTGCTGATTGCTTTAGAAGAATTGAAAGATATATAGGGAAGTCCAAGACCAAAAGGAATTCTCATAAAATATAGAAAAGTCTTCTCATTGACGACATTTTATAGAAAATTTTTTTTATAGACGACCGTCTCCTGAAAGACCGAAAGATCTCTCATAGAAAACCAAAAGATCCATTTTTCATAGGATCTTTTCATAGCAGACAGTATTCTCATAGACGATCAAAAGGTCTCTTCTCACAGAATACCAAACGTATTTTCTCCATATTGACCGAAAGATTTCTAATAGAAAACAGCTGACCACACAGCATTCTCATAAAAAATCGAGAGTTCATCTCATAGAAGATCAAACGAATTATTGGAAATTTTCTCCATAAATGTATACTCACTTCAGTTGTGTTATATTACGCCATATCTCCAATAATTCTTTAAGTAATTTTTCATCATTACTGCCAATGTTATTGCCAGGTTCCAAACTGAAAAAAAAAAACACACACACACATTTAGAATACATTTTCCATATATTTTTTGTATTTAAATTCATTTGTCTACTTACTTCTCTACAGTTTGTTCTTCACCCCGCAAAGCTTTTTCGATAAGTACACCGCGTGTCTCTAGTTCTTTTAATTGCACTTCAATTTCTTCCTGTTCACGCTGAATTTCCTGAGCGATTCTTAATCGCTTAAGCTCAGCTTGACGTACAGCCTTGGATATTGCACGCTGTTTCTTTTGGTCACGGGTTTCATTAGTATAGCTTTCGTCTAGAAAAAATATGACAAAATGAATTATTAAATGGAGGTATAAGGGGACTATAAATTAAATATCAGAACTATATTTTTAGGGGACTATCATAGCTTAAGGGGTGGAGTTTTTCAAGAATTTTTTTTTAGGTACCAACACAGCCTTAGGCGTGGATTTTTTAAAGAATATTTTTGAGCTACCAACACTGCCTTAGGCTTGGATTTTTTAAAGAATATTTTTGAGCTGCCAACACTGCCTTAGGCGTGGAATTTTTAAAGAATATTTTTGAGCAACCAACACTGCCTTAGGCGTGGATTTTTTAAATGTTATTTTTAGGGCACTATCTGAGTTATTAGGAGGTGTATTTAAATATTTTTATGGGGTTATCGGCATCTAAAAGTTGATATTTTTAAGGTAATTTGTAGTGGATTATCTGAACTATATAGAAGGAGGGGGCTATTTGACCTATATAGTAGGAGTATTTTTTAAATATTATTTTGGGGGACTATCAGAGCTCTAAAAGTAGATTTTTTAAAGATTATTTGTAGAGGACTATCTGAGCTATAAAAGTATATTATTGAAAGATTATTTTTAGGGGACTATCTGAGCTATATAGGAGGATTTTTTAAAGGTTAATTTTAGAGGAATGAAATATTATTTTTAGGGGACTATCTGAGCTATATAGGAGGATTTCTTAAAGGTTAATTTTAGAGGAATCAGAGCTCTAAATGTAGAGTTTTTAAAGATTATTTTTAGACGACTATCGAGCTCTAAATGTAGATTTTTTAAAGACGATGATTAGCGGTCTATCTGACCTCTAAAAATAGACCTAAGGATTTCTTAAACATTATTTTTATGGGACTATCTAAGCTGCAAATGAGGATTTTTTGAAGATTATTTTTAGAGGACAATTCGAGCTACAAAAGTAGATTTTTTTTGAAGAATATTTGTTGAAGACTATACGCGGATTTTAAAATATTTTTTTATGTTATAAAATTAAAAAAAAAGAAAACTTAAATACATACCATCCGATCTTTGATAATTCAATGGCAACGGCGGTATTGGTGGTGGTATTTGATCATCATCATATGCATTGGGAGATGTGCGGGAAGCAGCCGCTGCATTATGTGAAGAAGCATTTGTCATTGACTGGGATTTGTGAACGCACAATTGTGGATTGGACGAAGTGAAGGCCAGTGCCGATGACGATGATGATTTCTTGGCTGGAGGACTAGTTGTGATGTGATGCGAATGTGATCCGGATGAACGCAGTTCTTTATTGCGCTGCTGTTGTAGTTGTTGCGGGCCACTGTGATGTAGGCGTTGTAGGTGTAAACAATTATTGCTAGTTGTGATTTTGGCTTTTTGCGGACTGCTGCTGTTCAAATTATTCAGCTGATTGTGACTGTAGTGATGGGTGGGTGTTTCTGCAGTTGTAAAATGTGAACGAGTCAAAGCATCTTGAGACGATGAATGTTGATGATGATAATGGTGTTGTTGCTGCTGTTGTCTGGGACAATCATAGCATGCTAAGGCTGCCATTGACATGGATGATGTACGCAAACGTCGAGTGGGACTGTCCGTATAGCAGCTGTAATCATCTTTATCCTTATCCTGTTTTGTGAGGATTTTTTTGAGAATTTGTTTTTTGAATGTTTAGTGTTTTTTTTTCAAAGGAAGGAAAATAAGGAAAAAATATTATTTTTACAAATTTGTATTTTCTTTTAAATTATTCAAAATAAAAATACATGCTGTTGAAAAAATAAAAAATTGATTTTTTTTAATTTGTATTAAGGAAAAAGGTATGAGAAAAACTCTTAGGATCCCAGCCATCCATGTAGGGGTATTGTAGAAGAACAAGAAAAGGATTGGAAAAGGGGTCCCTTGGAACTCAAAAACAAATATAGATGTTACCAAAACCACCATCAGGGTAGGATAAGGGGTAGTATAGAATTGAAAAAAAATTATGTTCACAATTAAAAAAAAAAAACAATTATGTGTGATCGTGTTTAAAACTAAGCGTAGTTTTTTGTTTATTACATATATAAACATAATTATTAAAAACAATTAAAATAACAATTATTTAAATAAAAACAATTAAAAATAATAAAATAAAAATTTGTATATATTTTATTTAAATTAAAAAAAATTAATGGCCATTTTATAAATATATTTGGAATATAAATATTACGTTTTATTAGTACACACGAAAAAAAATAAATTATACTAAAATATTAAACACAAAAAATAAAAATTAAATAAAAACAAAACTTAAAAATTAACACTTAATTAAAAAAGATATAAAATAGAAGGGTTCTATATACGACGGACTTGGATTTGTATCATTTCGTTGTGTGTGTTCGTTTTTATTTCAGACAAAGGAAATTATTAAAGAACTTAAAAGGATAAGGGAGGAAACACATTATTTGTTCTGTAAAAAAAGAAGAAAACCAAAAAAGGAAAAAAGAAGAGAGAAAAAATACAAAAAACCATGAAAACAAAATCAAAATTTTCTACTACAACAATAGACCCATATAACCAAGAAACAAAATATAAATGGACATTTGACATTTGAATGGATGGATGGACGGAGAGACAGATGGATGGATTGTTTGGCTTAAATAAAAAGCAAATTTGAAAATTGTTTTTTCGACACCAATAAGAAATGAAATGATTAAAATAAAATAAAAATAATGTATTTGATGAATTTTGGGGTTAGAACAATTATCCGACCGGACAATGGAAATATTTCACCCAGTGACCTACATATAGTACAACAAAATTCGTATTTAAAGGATACATATAGCACCTTTTAAAAATAAAGTTGGTATACTGTATGTATAAATGTATGTAGGCCAAAGGAAATATTTAAGTTAAAAAGAAACTGAAATTAGAACGAAATGGAAAGATAAAATACAATTCCTCTTCTTTTCAATGTCACTTCATATGTGATATGAAACTTTCCATGTCTGAGGTCGGGTATGGAGGACAGGCAAAATGAAGTTGGGAGTTTACAAAAAAATGCATGCAATGAATTTTAAAGCATTCATAAAAGATACACATATATATATATATATATTTGTAGATATATAATATAATAAAAAAATAATAAAATATATATTCTTCTTACACCAATATAGATATCCCTTAGTTCAAAGCAGGACTGTAGAGATCATTGACGCAGAGACAGAGGGAGAGCAAAAAGACGTGAAAAAAATAAGAGACGGAAACAAGGAATATTGATACAATATTAGATATATTGAATTATACATACATATATGTATATAAGATATAGAAAATACACATAACTAAGCTATCATACACATTAAAAAATTGTTGGTGCAAATGGCTCGGCTCAAGGAGTGAATATTTGTATCCTAATACCATTTATTAAAATAAAACCAGTAAGGCAAGTAGTAAAGTCGGACTGGGCCCTTCGCCACATTGGGTATATTCTACATTTGTCTCCTAACAGATGTCGCCTTTTCGAAAAAACACTGACATGAAATTGAACGAATTTGAATATGCGATTTGTATACCTTTCTGGAACCTATGCTAAATTTCATTTCATTTTGTAAAATGTGAACGAGTCAAAGCATCTTGAGACGATGAATGTTGATGATGATAATGATTTTGTTACTGCTGTTGTCTGGAACAATAATAGCATGCTAAGGCTGCCATTGACATGGATGATGTACGCAAACGTCGAGTGGGACTGTCCGTATAGATGTCGCCTTTTCGAAAAAAACACTGACATGAAATTGAACGAACTTGAATATGCGATCTGTATACCGTTCTGGAACCTATTCATTTTGGCAAATTTAGAATCGTTTGCGTTGTGCAGCAAAGGTGCGATCTAATACAACACGGAAACTCGACGTCGAAAAGCTGCAAACACAACAGGTAGCCGAGGCCTACTCCGCTCAACTTACCCATCTGCTTGAAGAAAGCACTTCTTGTCCCGATAATAGTATAGAAGCACAATGGCAAAGAATTGCCCACTCCCTACAAACTGCAGCAAAAAGAACAATTGGGTACCAAAAACCACCACCAAGAAACCCATGGTACGATCAGGAGTGTCGTATTGCTACTGATGTGAAAAACGCAGCGTATAGGGCAACCCTGCAGACAGTAGCAACACGTAACGTGATGGAGAATTATCGGGAGAAAAGGAGAGAGGAGAAACGTGTTTTCAGAAAAAAGAAGAAAGAACAAGAAAAACGTGAGCGTGAGCAAATCGAGATGTACAGGAGTCAGAATGAAGTCCGGAAATTTTACCAACGAGTAAAACACCAAACCGAAGGCTTTGGTGCAGGCACATCCTCCTGTAGAGATGAAGAAGGAAACCTGGTGACAGATACAGACAGCGTGTTGAGGATCTGGAAGGAGCATTTCGAAAAGCTGCTAGTATCAAATAGTGGCGATGAAGAAGATACACCAGAACCAATAGGAGATGATGGTATAGAGTGTATACCACCTAGCCAAGATGAGGTCATAAAAGCAATTAATCGGCTCAAGAACAACAAAGCAGCAGGAGCCGATGGGTTACCAGCCGAACTATTCAAGACTGGTGGCCAGATGCTGGTCAGGAGCATGCACCAGCTGATTAACACAATTTGGCTAGATGAATGCATGCCCAATGATTGGAACCTCAGCATCCTGTGTCCCGTGCACAAAAAAGGAGACAAGACGATATGTGCCAACTATAGAGGAATAAGTCTCCTTCCCATCGCATATAAAGTGCTATCAAGTGTGCTGTGTGAACGATTGAAGCCAATGGTCAATGACATCATCGGACCATACCAATGCGGCTTCAGACCTGGCAAATCGACCATAGACCAGATTTTCACTCTGCGCCAAATCCTGGAAAAGACCCACGAAAAACACATCGACACATATCACCTATTTGTCGACTATAAAGCCGCATTCGACAGCCCTATCCGTTCAGAGGTGTTTAAAGCCATGTCTGCGTTCGGCATTCCTGCAAAATTAATACGGCTATGCAGGATAACATTAAGTGGCACAAGGTCAGCCGTTAAAGTAGGAAAGGACCTATCGGAGCCCTTCACTACCGAACGAGGATTCAGACAAGGTGACAGTTTGTCGTGTGATCTTTTTAACATCCTACTAGAAAAGGTCATACGAAATGCAAAGGTGAACAGAAATGGCACTCTGTACACCAAACAACACCAGTTACTCGCCTACGCCGATGACATCGATATAATGGGTCGAACATTGCGAGCGGTAACAGCCACCTTTGAACAAATTGAAAAGGAGTCTGCCAAAGTGGGTCTGGCAGTAAACGGCGAGAAGACCAAGCTGATGGTATCAACGCGCAAGACGTCCAGTAGACTCGGACCAACTGTGGAACTTGAGAACTACAGCTTCGAGGTAGTTAAAGACTTTATATACCTTGGTACCGCCATAAATAAAACGAATGATATCAGTTTTGAAATTCGGAGAAGGATTGTGATGGCCAACAGATGCTACTATGGTCTAAGTAAGCAGTTTAGAAACAAGGCCACCTCTCGCCAGACCAAACTCACACTTTACAAGACGCTGATACTACCCGTGCTATTATATGGATCAGAAGCATGGGTACTTGCGCAAGCAGATGAGGCAGCTCTTGGGGTGTTTGAGAGAAAAATTCTCCGAAAGATCTACGGGCCGATCTGCGTCGACGGTGAATATCGGCGTCGAATGAACCACGAGCTCTACAATTTATACGCAGACATCGACATAGTCAGTCGTATTGAGCTGCAGCGACTACGGTGGCTAGGCCATGTTGTGCGGATGAATGAAGAAGCCCCAGCTCAAAAGGCATATAAAAATGAGCCTACGGATGGTTCCCGTAGAAGGGGAAGGCCACGAATTAGATGGAAAGACCAAGTAGAAAACAACATCCTGGAACGTGGTCTTCCAAATTGGTGGACTTGCGCACAAGACCGACGCGCTTGGAAATCTTTTTTAAGCTCGGCTTATGGAACAACCGTTCTGTAACAAGCCAGCTAAGTAAGTAAGTAAGTAAGAATCGTTTGCGTACAATGGGACAAATTTATGTTAATCGATTTAGAGCAAACTTGAAAACGCTAATCGGTAGGCCGCACTCTTCAAAATTAAATCTCAAACAGACAGCCGTTTGAAATATATATAAAAGCTCTGTTTGAGATTAAAAAAAACCCAATAACGTCATTCTCTCAATTCGATACGATGTGCAAAATTTCGTGTCTCTTGGTGCACCATTTACCTAAAATCTAACGAAACTTGAAAGAGATAAATTTATTTATATTGTACAAAATTGTGTGTCAATCGTACAAACTTTGTGTATTTAGTGCATAATTTACATAAAATCCGATGAAAATATATATGGGAGCTATATCGAAATCTGAACCGATTATTACGAAATTTTAAACACATCATTCCAGACTCGATTCTGTGCCTTTTGTCAAATTTCGTGCAAATCTAATGATATATAGGGACTTTGGTGCACCATTTACATAAAAGCGGACGAAAATATATATGGGAGCTATACCTACATCTGAAGCGATTTCCACGAAACTTAACACACATCATTCTAGACTTAATTACGTTATGCAAAAGTTCGTGCTATCCAGCTTGTAGGTAAGCCATATTGGATCCGTCTGCATAGAAAGCCAGACCGTCCGGTTCCAGTCGTTTCTACTAGGAACTAACGACATCTACATCGCTTAGTTTTACTCGTTGGTCCAATGTCACACCTGGTTCGTTCTAGATACAACCACGCCCAAAGGTACAACTCGCGCGCCTGACACTTAATGCTGAGGTCCAGAGGCCTTAAGTTTAGCATTACGTTCAGAGCAGCTTTTGTGGTGTTCCTCGTGGCTCCTTTTATTAGAATCGAGGCGGCTCTTTGTACCTTATCTAGTTTGCTGGATGTCGACTTGTGACGCAGTCAGTTCCACCAGACAAGAGAACCATAGGAAAGAATGAGCCTTAGCACGGTGTTATAGTAGATGGTTTTAGCCCCCTGATTACACTCTCTTCGCCCGTTCCTCAGCGCTCCTGTTCCATCGTAATTGACAGTCCATGATTGTGCCAAGGTACTTTGCGTCGGGTGATAGATGAAGCTGCACTCCATCCAGTGTTGGTGGATCAAAGACGCTGAGCTTACGCTTTCTAGAGAACATTACCAGTTCCGTCGTTGTTGGGTTTACACCAAGGCCGTTCGCCTTGGCCCAGTATGACAGCGTCAGTAAGGCTCTTTGCATAAGCTCCGAGATTGTTGACGGAAAATTTCCGGAAATCAATATTAAATCACTACGTCGTCCACATGAGCTAAGATTTTTGATACCTTTTCAGTCCAGTTCCATCAGTATGTTGTTAATTACTAATAGCCATAGCAACCAATCCCTGAGAGGTGTCTCAAGTTACTGTTTTTCTGATTTTTGTATCCCCCACATTTGTATTTATAATTCTGCTGTAAGGGTGCCTCTGAGAGGTACCTCTAGTTACTGTTTTTCTGATTTTTGTATCCCCCACATTTGTATTTATAATTCTGCTGTAAGGGTTTCAGGAGTGCCAACTTTTTTAAGTTAGTGATTTACGAATTTAAGTTTAACATTGTTAAATGCTCCCTCTATATCTAGGAAGGCGGCCAGCGTAAAGTTTGAATTTTCCATATTCCTCTCAATATAACTTACCACATCGTGCAGTGCAGATTCTACTTGTTTTTTATGTATGCGTTTTGTGAATTGCTAAGAGTGGTGGAAGTGTCTATACGACTCCTAATCTCCAGGTCGATCAGTCTTTCGAGAGTCTTGAGGAGAAAGGATGATAGGCTAATGGGTCTATTCTCCCTTGGTGCAGAGTGGCTTGATTTGCCCGCTATAGGGATGTATGTAACCTTTGCCTCGTTTCATCGCCGGTGTGATTCCATCTGGTCCATTTGGCGATTTATATGGTTTGAATGTATTGAATGTCCAGCGTATCTTATTTCTGTTAACCACCTTGCCAATGAGATCCAAATCTCGCAAGAGGCTGAGTGTCATATGAACATGAATGAACCAGCCGTTTGAAAATCGTCGAAATTTGAAATGGAGAGTTGGTGGGTCCCTTAATAGTCATATTCAATGTCTCATATAAAATGCAACTTAATGGACCATATTTCGAATGTTGAAAAATATTTCTAAATAAATTCCCAGTCTTTCAGAAATAACCCCACTTTTATAAAACAAATACCACTGACATATTTTACACCAGATAATACCGATTGACTTAACAGTTATAAAATAAAAAAAAACTTAACCACAACCAATCTGTGAATAATAATAATTTATAACGAACTCTATTAAAACACTAAAACACACCATCACCTCCTAAAATAATAACAACAACATAGGCACACACATATGCATAATAAAAAGCATGATCGATCGCATATTTACAAAATATGACATTTGAAATTTAAAATGTTGCTCTTATATTTCAAACTTTTTCTTCTTCGTCTACTTACCCTAGATTTCTCTTTGGATTTTGGTGATATACGGAAACGACTTAGAACACCATCAATACCCGATGAGGGCGTCGAAGATGTGGTGGTTGTTGGAGTACTATTATTGCTGCCACTACCAACACCACCAGTACCTGTTTGCTCTGCTTGGGCAGAGTTGACATCACTGGCGGCGCCGGTATTGTGTTGAGTTTTATTTTCTTTATTGGCATGCTGGCCCATGTGAAAGAAATTGCTTAGCGATTGTATCAAAGATTTGCGACGTTCGGGATCTTTGGCTCGACGATTCAATTTTTTAGTTGGTTTTTCCTGTTGTTGTTGTTGTTGCAGCTGTTGCTGCTTGGTTGATAGCAGAATATTGGGATCTGAGGTGAAATCATTTTTAACATGCGATTTTAAATTGTCCGACAATTGTGCGGCACCACCACTAATACTCATTTGATAGGCCAAATCATTAACACTCTTGGAGGTATTCATTTTGGAGTCACGTAAGCTGGTTGGGCGTTCATAACCCTGGGGATTGGTTGTTTGTTTATTAGCCCCGCTGCTGCTGTATTCATTCTGGATCCTTTTCCTTAGCAATTGCATTTTTTCCTCAGGACTCAAGCCCAATTCGGAATTGGATTTGAGGCGAGCCCTTGCCCTGGCCTCACTGCGTAGATTTTCCGTGGAGGTAGTAATATTGGCATCTTTACCCTCTACATTATTATTATTGGTGTTGTTGTTATTGTTGTTACCCTGTTGCCTTCCACGATTTTGCCTTAATGGTGGTATGGGCGTGGAACTACCCATTGGCTGTGGGGGCGTTGTTGTGGTTGTTGATTTTTGTGCGCTTACATATGAAAACGATGGTGTCTTATTGATTTTATAACGCTGTTCCAAATTCTTTAAACGTTCATCCTCCAAATGTTCACTGAAAGGTCTGGGGATTTTATAGCCTGCGGAACGTATGGGTGAAAGAGGCTCCAGACCACCACCACCAATACCACTACTATAAGGTGACACATAACTTGTTGTTGTTTCCAGCGGATTATTTTCCTTAAAACTGGAGCTATTATTTAGGAAACGTTGTGTAGCTGCCGCCGTACGGGCTGAAGGTGATGTGGGATTTTGGCTGGCTGTGGAGACATGATAATGGGCCTGATTGGTACAGTTGGTGTCTGTGGTGGAATTTGCTGCTGCCAATTTGGGTGTTGGACTTAGACTAGAACCACTTGAATAACCACAACCACCTGCTCCGCCTCCCAGGCCACTGGTCATAATGCTACGTTGGCGACTGCGATGCAAACGTTTTTCGGCATTCAGTTGCTTCTTGGACTGCAGCTTGTCCATGACTAAATCGTGTATTAGATCCTTTTGCTTGGTGCGTTCTTTGGTAATTTCCTCCAGCTTACTTGTGAGCGTCGGAATTTCAGGTACTTTTTTCTGTGCAGTTTGTTGTGTGGATCCGGCATGCGTATTATCTGTTGTTGTCGTTGTTTTTTGCTCGTCACTGGTGTGGGTTGTGGTGGTGTTATTGCTATCAAATCTTAAATTACTTGGTGTTGTTGTTGTCGTGGTATTGTTATCTATCACAGATATTTGATTAAGGCTCATCTCACCCTTAGAGGATTTTCGCCTTTGCTTTTTGGCCTCCAATGAATCTCCTCTTGCCGTGCTGCTAATCTGCACAATTTTTTGCTGCAAAGCTCGCACATATTCCTCATAGGAAAGTTCATCATGGGATCTACGATCACCGGGGGCTAGAGGACCCAAACTGGGACTATCTTTCGATAATTGTCTGGGTGGTGTGGTATTTTTACTTGAGGTGGTGGCTGAATTCGTACCCGATGTGGATTGTGAGGATTTTGGGGCACGATCTGTGCTGCTGGGTGTTGAACCACTACCACCCCCACCTCCACTATCACCACCACCCACATAATCACGCCTATGGCTATTTGTGGAATTTCTGGTATGCGGTGAAGAATCCAAGGGACTAGATACCACCGTGAGGGCCTCACTTTCCTCGGTGGTGGTTGTTGGGGTTGTGAAATTATTTATATTTGCCGACTTGTTACCCTGTCTCGATGAAGCCGATGTTGTTGTTGTAGTGGATAATTGGATCTGCGAATGGCCACTATCATCTTCCAGATCATTGAAGGTACTTGAATCGGTCAGTGACTGAGTCATTACATTTTTACTTGTCTCATTGACGGGTGTCTTATTGGCATCCTCATGATGCATGATGTAGGCACCCTGCTCTATGTAATCGACACCCAAACGTTCATCACGCTTCACCGAAATCGGCTTAGAAATATCCAAAGGTTGCTTGGCAGCCACATGTTTGGGTGTTGTCTCTTGTTGCTGCTGATCCACAAATTCCATATAACCACGATTACGCAGCAATGCGGTATTAGTTGCCGAGTGAGCCTCGGTACCCGAACTTTCATCTTCCGATCCCGTATCCATAAATTCAATATCATCCAAATCAATGGATTTCAATATGCCCTCAAATTCTGCAACAGGTGCCACAGCCTTGGCCAATTCTTGCATAACCTCATTGGTACTGGGCAAACGGGAGGATTCCACCGCGTTACCCTTACGTTTCGATTTTTTATCACTTTTATTCCTTCTCGAAGATCGATCATAATCCAATTCAACAAAATTCTCCGATATACAATCATCCGCGGTCCAATCGGATAGCTCCGTTTCAGTTAAAATTTGTGCTGTCCCTGTGGGTTCTGTCTCGGAATCGGATCCCCGTGATAATAAATCACCCGTTGGAGTTTTATCCATATCGATAAGGGGTGATCCCACCGGTGATTCTATGGACTTTTGTGCGTTGGACAAATTAAGGGATATTGGTTTTATGGCCTTAACCGGGTCAACGGTACCCGAATCCAATATCAATGGTAGATTTTTTAAACTTTCGATTTTATTTTCATTTTTACTATCAAATTTCAACATGGAGGGCTTGACTTTGGGTGGACCTTTTTCTGGTAGGGGTGGTCCGGTTTCAGGCAGTGGTGGTGGTATTGCTTCGGCTTCTGATTCAGTTTCTTCTAATTGCTTAGTTTTTCCTCCCACTTCTATGACTGTGGTCTCCACTGGTTCTGGGGTGGCGGTGACTGGTTCATGTTCCGTTTCCACTTCATGTTCCTTTTCATCTTCTGGCTCCAATTCGATGGTCTTGACGGCAGCCTCTTCGGGTAAGGTTACACCTTCGGGTAATTCCATATATTTGAGATCCTCCGGATCACCAATATATTTACCATCAATAATCATAAGGCTGTCAATTTGCATTAGCGTACCCGAAGTGTCATGGACCTCCAAACGTGGCACCTGATGATTAGCACCACCCGAGCCCGTGGAAACCATGGCAATAGCACTGTTATGGGTTTCAGGACTTGTGGTAGATTCCAAAATGAAATGTTCAATATCTTCCAGGCTGGAGGAGTGTGAAGAACACGATGAGTTACTGGAGGAGCATGAAAGATTATCTTCCTCCTTATGGGTATTCCATTCGATATTGGGCACCTCAATTTGGACATCTTCAACTTCGTTGTCCTCCTCCTGCTGCAGCAATATCTCCTTCTCAGGGACATCCTCCTTTTCCATGCTATGGTCATCTTGTTGGGTGGGTGTCTTGTCACCCATATTTGTGGATGTGGGACTTATCCGTTCGCCTATGTGACCCAAAATGTCGGGTATGACTTGTTTAACATCTTTCGAAACATCCGGAGGTTTTATTTCATTTTCTTCCAAAATGGTGCGATTCGATTTCTGTTCTGGTGAGTCGCCCGTCAAATCTATAACCTTATTACTATCCGATTTATCACGTTCCACTTGTTTTTCGGGTGTTGTCAAATCGATTGTTTCCAAAATGCTTTTATTATTGGTGGGTGTGGTATTGGGCGAAGCAGGGGTCTTCTTTCCCGCCATGGTATCCAATAGTGCAGCATTCACCGTCTCCGTATATTCCATACATTTATTCAGTTCATTTTTATTATTCACATAGACATTTTCCTTTTCATTGTCCGTCGACGCTGTCGAGGAGGCCTTCTGTATGGTGATTTCCACTTTCAAATCATTTAAAATGTTATTGGTTGCGGAACGCATCAGTGCCTCATTTTGTGGTTTCTCCCCCAACTTGGTGCGATCCAAGAAAGTTTTCATACTTGGACTTATTTCATTGCTGGGATTGAGTAACTTCTGACATTCCGATATATTCGATTGGAAACTGCGTATGCGGGAATCCAGTACAGAAGTGGAGCCAGATTTTTGTATTTTATTACCATTGGCAGGTTCACCGAGCAGATAGCGTTTCTTTAATTCCAGACTTTTCTTTGAGGCAATACCCTCGGTACTGGCAGTTTTGTTAAGTAAATAATCTCCAGGTCTGGGGTTTTGTAGCGGTGTTCGATTGCTGCTTAGCAGTGAAGGGTCGACTTGTACCAATGGTTTGAATTGAGGTATTTGTGGAGTATTTTGTTGTTGCAGCTGCTGCTGTTGTTGTTGGGGTGTTTGATATTTAGCCAAATAGGGACCGCTAGTGCCAATGCCAGTCGCTGAACCCATACCACCTCTACCACCATATTGTGGTATATTCGAACCGCTATTATATTTTTGTATTGTATTTGGCGGTATAACCGTTGATTTGACCTGGAAAAAAGAAAAAAAGTAAGGATTTACAATTAAGTCTTCGACAAACAAAAATAGAAATGCATAATATCAATTGGGAGATAAAGAAAAAAATGGGGGAATTTATGGAATTTTTAAATTTCCTTTTAGACATTGGTAACTTGAATTTCTCACTTAAATATAATCGACTGGCTGAATGAATGGTTACCATAATTATTGGTTAATAAATGGTTAATATACCAACCTGAACTTTAGTGGGCTTCCTCAAATGGGTATCATCAATGAATATCTTGGGTGCACTGCGTATCAACTCATCGTTATCAAATTCCGAATCGGTGGAAATTTCAGTCGCTGAATTATGTTCTAGCTCATCGGATGTGGAGGTTTCCGTATCACTTTGGACCTAAAAGAATTTCAATACAGAATACGATTAGCAAAATATATTTAAATATAATAAAAACAATAAGCAAAGAAACGAAAAATCAAAGAACAACATGCTTAAGAAAAATAACAATAACAAAAAGAAAACAAGGAGTTATGAAAAAAATATTAAAGAGAGAACAACATCCTTTTCAGGTACGATCCAAAAAGGTATGAAAACGAACACAATTAATAGAAAAATATACAAATATTTTTGTACAATATTTTTTGAAAAAAAAAAAAAAAAAAATGGACACATTTTAAGGTTAGGTTTGTGTGTTATAGAAAAAAGTATAACAAGAACAAAAAATCTGAAAAATAGAACATTTATCAACAGCATTACCGGCAGCGGCGGATTTGTTTGTAAGTGGTGTTAGAACAGCTTGATTTAATTTATTTTTTTGTTGGCAGTGTAGTAGACCTGGCAGTTACAACAATTAGGGCATTATTTTTTGGGGGCCTTTTTAAAAAACACTTTTTTTGGAATTAGAGAATTTTTGTTTACCTTTCAAGATCGTACCCAGAGTGCAGTTGCAAATTAATAAAACATTCAACACAATTTCACCAGCCCTCTCCTCATATTACTATATTTTTTGGTTAAATACTTCTGTTGGGAAGCAGTAGTAGGTGGTGATGATAGAGATAGAGTTGGTTGGTTGGTGAGGATTGAAGAAGCTCATCAATAGAAAAGGGCTTAGCGATTAATTGCTTTACGTAATAAATTGTCTTATGCCACACCTTTGTTGTTGTTTTTTTGTTTGGGGAAGGATCCTTGGAGTTTTTTCATTTTTTTAGGTTAGGATTGGTTTTGGGAGGGGATTTTGTTTTTTTTTTTTTTTTAATTTTTAGGTTATAATTATTTGTAGCTGTTGGTTCTGGTGTTGGTCGGTTTGCTTTATCGAAATTTTTAACATATAACACATGAATCATCTGCCGCTCCAATACCTCCTGCCCCTCCTCCTCGTTCTCTATAACGTGAGGGTGAATGTCGTGTTGTAATGTCATTGAGATATGAACTACGCCCTGTTGTGGTGCCACCGTAACTGCTATAGGGTGTCTTGTATGTCGATGTATAGGAACTTATGGGTGTGTGAGTGTGAGTAGAGGTGATTGGCAAACGCCTACTACTACCATACAATGAACTGGATGTCGTATCCGCCGCATATGAGGGTACATAATCATAACTTGAGGTATTATATGAAGAACGGCCCAAGGTTCGAGAGCTTGGGAAACGACTTGCTGTGGATGTTGAGCTATATGGAGGACGTGAACGATATGAATTTGTTCTGTAATCGCCGACATCGTCATCATCATCATCGTCGTCTGATATATATTTGTTGTTGTAATAAATCGTCTCCCCACCACCCAATGAGTTTCTACGTTCCGCAGCAATAACCTCTTTCATATAAGGATTGCGTTCCACCACCCGCTCATTGACAAAGTCCCGCTTGCGGTCATGTAAACGTTTGCTGCGCTCCAAGAGCAATTGAGTACTGGCATCCATGGCGGAAGATTGTCCTGGAGATACCGTGGAGGTTACCGATGAGTTGGTCAGACGTTGATGCCTGGCCGGCCTTTGGGGTGTGGAGGATTTGTTGCTACTACCCCCACCACCACCATACCTTGGCAACTCAAATTCACTTTCATTACTGGATAGAGGTGAGGACATTTGCGTCCCGCGTGGGCCCAACGAATAATTTGAACCATGCACCTGGGATAGTTTACTTAAATCTGTAATTGATTTTGAGGCCGGTTTACCCATTGCCTCCCAATCTAATTCATTGGCCGTGTGCTTAATTTCCGGTGTCTCAGAGCGGGGCTGCTTGAACGCACCTTTTTTGTTGTTTTTCTTCTTATTCTCAAAAATCGTATGACCATCGGGCCATTGACGTTTGGGTCCTTCGTTTGTGGCCTCGGTTAAATTGGCATATTCAATTGTTTTGTTGCTGTCTGCTTCCAGGTCGTCTACCAACTCCTCTGCTTCATCCTCTTCGGTTTGTGGTTTTGGCCATGGCCGATTTTTCACCTCCTCCGACATTTCCACCACTTTGAGGTTGTCCGGTTGCAATTTTTCATCTTCCACTTTGGGTAAATCCAGCTTTTTCGGCATCGGTGCTATAATCGGTTTATTATCTAACAATTCTATAAATGCAAATGAGCTACGTCTGGAGGATGGTGCGGTGGATGTGCTGGGTGCGATTTCCAAGGGTTTTGTCATGGGTGGTGTGCCAGCACGATTTGTGGCAGAACTTTGCACGGGGCTACGGCGGGAGTCACGGGGTGGCAAAGAGCTAGCAGGTGAGGGTGGTGGTATCTTATTCGAATTCCCACTACCATTACTGGAACCACTACCCTTGCGTGGTGGTTTTGCATCTATGGTTTTTTCAATGACATTATAGTCCTTGTCACGTTGTATCAAGGCCTGGCGTCTCTCCAATTCAAACTCCTCAATCAGGCGTTTTTCCGAACCCTCTGTGGTCAGATCAATGGTATTGAGTAATTTTATGGAGGATGTGGGAGATTTTTCTTTTAGCAAAGAATTGGAATCTCTTCGAGGAATTTCTTTATTCGGTTTTTCTTCCTCATCCTGATTTTGTTGTGGCGGAGGATTTTCTTTCGTGGTTTCCTTAAATTTCCTCTGAGGCATTGGACTACGTGGCAACATTTCCATATTCCAATCGGAGGTCTTTTCCGACTCCGTTAGACTTTCCATGGATTCGGGTTTTTGTAAATGTTTAGGCAGGGTTTTATGTTTAGGCATGGGGCTATTGGGTAGCATTTCCATATTCCATTCCAAAGAAGGGGCCTTGGCCTTAAGGCCTTGATTTTTATCCTCCACAGCAGGTTCCTCTGCCTTTTTGACAGACTGTTTTTCTTCCTCCACTTCCTCCTCCGGTGGTGGTTCCTTTTCAATGGGTTTCAAAACCTTGGTAAACTGGGTAACATTTTCCGGTTGCCGATTGGGGCCATAACCAAAGCCATCATTGACAATGTTGGCGGATATTTGTATGCTAGGTACCGCCGCCCCGCCTTGATTGCTTTCCTCTTCCAAATTGCCAACGAGGGATGCTTTGGACCCAGACAGTTTTGTTATCTTCGGATCCTTATTATAAATATCATGGGTAAACAGTTTACTGGCAATGGGGGAATCTTCAATGAGAATCTCATCTTCATCGATGAGTCGTGGGAATCTTAAAGGCTTGTTGGCATCCATAGCGGGTGGTTGGGATTCCACTTGCCTTGATTTACACACCTCCTGCATGACATCCTGCACCGAGGGTGGCATATTTGTGGGCGAAAGTTTGGAAAGTTTCTTTTTAAGCCGCTGCGGAGCCAAGGGTGGTGGTGTGGAATCTGTCGAAGATGATTTACTTTTTTGACGACGTTTGGGGCGACAGGGGAAATTGTTGCCGCCACTGGGTACAAGTATGGGTACATTAAGTCTGGGTGGTGTATAACTTACATCCCTTACGGCATGATCCTCATCCACCTGTTCCATCTCCCCCTCCTCTTCTCCATTCAGGGGTATAATTTCAATTAATTCATCATTGGAATCGAATTCCACATTGACCAACATTTCATCGGAAAATTGACTAAATAAATTATCTATACTATCATCCTCGGAAGAGCCACGCTGCTGTATGGTGGTAATGGGTGCCACACTGGGACTTTTACTTATCGAAGTGCATAGCGAATCCTCATCGTATTGTTCATTTAACAGAATTGTTTTATCGATATCTAATAGATCGGCCGGCTCAAGTAACGAGTCGAAATTATCGATGGTTATTTCCCCACCACCCAAAGAGGAGACATTCGATTGCCTTCGGGATTGTAAACTGGCCAGGGAGCTGCGTCGTGAACCGCTTAGCGATTTATCACAACCCGTTTTGGGTAAATTACGTATATCCTCAACAAGGGGACGTTTCGTGGAAGGTGAAGGTGGGGTGTTGGCAAGCGAAGTTGTTACATCATTTTCCGGAATCGGAATTGTGTTGCTGCTCGGGTTTAGAGATTCTGTTGAGGGTTGTAAATTCGTGTTAAAGTATTCATTTTGCTGTGAGGTTTCCGTAGATTCTGCTGAGGGTTTCAAATCAGTATTTAAGGCATCAGTTTCAGTTAAAGAAACTCGAGATGGGCTGTTGGAGGCCAGATCTTCGTTGGAGGGCTCTAAATCCGTATACGTTGACTCATTTTTGTTGAGGGATACCCGAACTACCTGGCCAGGGGTTTGAGTCCCTGCCGATGGCTTCAAATCCACATTTGAGGAATTATTTTTGCTGAGACCCACTCGAGCGGTGTTGTTAGAGGTGTTAAGAGATTCAGCTGATGATGGTTTCAAATCCAAATTTAGGGAATCATTTTTGCTGAGGCTCACTCGAGCTGTGTTGTTGGTAGTAAGAGATTCTGAGACCGATGATTTTACATTAATTTTGGATGATTCATTTGTGTCCAGAGAAACCCTAGATGGGCTGCTGGACGCTAGACTATCTTGCGATGGTTTCAAATCCACAGTCGATGATTCATTTTTGTCCAATGGAACCCGAGCTAATTCCCCAGGGGAACTATTTTCACTTGGAGAGGAATTGGAATCTTTGGATGTTTTTAATTCGAAATTTATTGAATTGCTTTTGAGGCCAGATTTCGAAAGATTTTCTGCGGAATTTGTTTCATGAGGTTTTAATTCAATACTAATGGATTGTTTAAAGGGTCTATTGGGGGTTACACTATCCACAACAGTTTCCTTAACAATTTCCATATTTGGGGCTGATATTTCAATCGCCGAAGTAGCCTCCAATTTCATTTCCTTGAGAGATTCTTCTGCCTTAGCCTCATTATTTAACTTCGAACTATTTTCAAGGTTCCCTTTCGTAGTGTTGACTGGAATCTCTTGAGTTTTATTTGCCTGTTCCTTGGGTTTACTTAAATCTCCACTAACCTGTACCAATGCCAGTTCCTCCAGTGAGGCATAAACTATGGGCTTTTGAGGTACTATGGGTTTTTTCACAATCTCCTTTGGTGGCGATGGCGAAGGTTTCTTTAATTTCTTCTCGGGGGATTTGTGTAATTTCTTTTTCATGGGCGATTTACGTTTTTCGGGAGATTTATCCACCCCAACCTTGCGTTGCCCGGGTGTCTTCAATTGGATTTTTGTATTTCGCTCTGGACTTTTTTGTTTAAATCCAAAAAATTTGGCATATTTTGAATTACTCAAAACGTTGTTGTTGCTGATGCTGCTGGGACCATTGGTAATGTGCATAACCCCCTCCTCCTCGACTTTCCCCTTATTGTTCGCTGCTCCTCCCTTTTGTATGGTATGGGTCTTTTGAAAATCTGACCTCTTCTTTTGCAGGAAATTTGTGGCTTCATTACGCCATTCCGATTTCAAATATTCCATGGTCTTTTCCAAATCACTAAAACTATCCGATTCACGAGAGACAATCGATTCTTTGGATTTATTTAAATTACTGGTGGTGGATTCCATGCGTCGCAGTTTAAAATTAGGTTCCGTTGCATTCGGTACCGAACTCATTGACTCGAAACGTTTGAGTATGTTTTGCACCCCACTTGGCAAATCACCCTCCTCTTTGTTCGGCGACTCCTTATCCTTCGTGCCGAGCATGCTGTTCTTACGTTGCAATGGCATTTCACCCTCACCAAAGGATTTGGCTTTGAGTAACTTTTTCCGATTAATGGAGGGTGAGACGGATGGTTTCTTTTTGAGACCCAAATCGATGCCAGTCTCTTCGAGAATGTGTTCAATTTTATCCGACAGATCATCACTTGGAGACCGTTCCTCTTGGAACAATTGTTGATATTCCAGACTGGGGGAGCGCATTTCATCGCTGTGCAGGATTTCATCGAGAATTAAATCATCCTCATCGCGGAGGATAAGGGATTTTTTGGGGGCTAGTGCTGGGGTTTTCTTTAGGGAACCCTTGCGTACAATTTTTTTGATAATTTTTACATTTTTGCCTTTTTTACCCGCGCCCGCCGTGGCCACAGCTGTGGTGGTGGTTATGGTTTTGGGAGAGGTTGTTGTGTTCGTTGTCGATTTGTTAGCCGCTGTTGTTGTTGTGGTTTTATTGGAGGTTGTATTTGCTGCTGTAGTTCCTTTGGCATTTATTTTCCCAACAGTCACCACCTTGGGTTTAATTTTTTCTATATCCACTGCCCCATCCATTTGATTGTCCTTTAAACTAAATTGCCCTGAACCTACACCTCCCGCTCCCGAAAGTGAAGCCTGCCTTTTGGGTGCATTGGGTTTAGTTTTATTGCCGGCCGGTTCCAATGACTTTTCCGTTTGACTTTTTCTCAGCCGATCAGCCACCGTGACCACCGAACTTCGTCTCTGAGGTGCCGGACTTGTGGGGAAATATTTCGATAAATCTACCTCCTGCAAAGACTTTTGATTTTTATTTACATTACTTGTGGAATCTTTACGTTGTTGTTGATTGGGAAAATATTTCGACAGATCCACATTGGCTGGCACCTGTTGCGTACTTATTGTGGGCGTTTCCATTTGCGATTTAATGCTATCCAAGGTACCGGAGAAATTTTTCGTTTCAATTTCTTTAAGTTTTTCCGTCATACGACGATTGGGTTGTGGCGAGAATTTCGTTTCAATTTTATAGAACATTTTACCCATATCCTTGGAGGAATCAGGTGGTGGTGCTGGGTCTTGAGACTTTTTGGGGTTTTTTGAAATTTCAATATTTTTAACAATACCCAAAATATTTTCTATTTCCATTTTGGTATTAACATCCGCCGCGGATTTTGTGGACTTGGGTAGTTGGGGACTTTGTGGGGTTCGATTCGCCCCCTTAAGGCTATTGTTGCGACTCAAAGGCTTCTTGTTATTGGCCTTTAGCTGTTCATTTTCTTTGTTAATCATTTCCTTGATTTGGGCCAATACCTCACGACTATCCATGACGGGTTTTTGCGGCTTTTCCGGTGAGATTTTATTTTCAGCTTCAGGTTTTTTGAGCACGTCTTTAAATTGCGACTTGGGGGCATAGGGATTGGTTGCTGCCAAGGTGTTTGCTGTGGCCCCTGTGGTTTGTTGTTCCAAAAACTTGGCCTTGGCCGCTAAATCATCTTTGAATTTACTCAACTTTTCTTCGAATTTATTTTTACCCTCCTGGGCCTGCTGGGCTTTGTTTTCCGCCAACCATTTCTCCTTCATACTTAGCTTCTTTAATATATCACTTTGTATTAGATTCTCTTTGGCTATGGTATCCAGATCTTTGTTCATCTTCACAACATTGCTGAGATTATAAAGTTTGGCACTGATGGCATCGATTTCCTTGCTCAAGGTATTGTGGGTATTTTTTTCTAATTTTTCAATATCCGCCTTTGTGGTTTTCACCGGGCTCTTTTCCAAGCCATTCAGGGGGGGTAGAATTATTGAGGATGAGGTGGATTTAAAGGATTGGTCAGAGCCGGCGGAGTCTTTCCGTTTATTATCCTCCACCACTTCTGATTTAATATTCATTAAATCCGAACCCTTATCCTTCGATTCCTGAGTATTATTATTATCCAACAAATTAGTTTCCTTATCCTTGGAATTATCATCCTTAACCTCCATTACCTTTGTTTCTTTGTTTTCATTTTTATCCTTGTCTGTCGTTATCTCACTTTCGTTGTTGTTGTTGACATTTTCGTTAACTTCTTTTAAATCTTTATTCTAGTTTTTTTTTATTCAAAATATTTTACAAAACAAAAAAAAAAAATAATGAAGAAAAAACCAACACCATTTTACATGAAATTAAAAAAGAATTAAAGGATAAATGGAAATAAAGGATAATCATTAAGTGTGTGTATGTATGTGTGTGCATAAAGTATATAATTTGGAAAAAAGAAAAGTTTTGAATTAAAATTAAAAAATATCCCAAAATAACAACAAGAAAAATAAAACAAATTTACACTAACCTCAGTTTCGGTGTCGGTTGGCAAATTTGGAGGCAGCGGAGGTAATCGCACTTCCTCGCGTCTCAACTCACGGGCCTTGGCAAATTCTTCACCCTCAGTGTCATCTTTGCCATCATCTAGAAAAATCGAATAACAATTTAAAAAACACCCTTCAATGAAAATCTTCCCTCCCCAAAAAAATAACTTACCCGCCAATCCTTCACTTGAATCATAAAAATCATCCGAATCATCACTATCGCTGTAATTTTGTTTCCCAATCCATTCGGATGCCAGCTGCAAAGTTTGTGCCCCCAATGGCGATTCATTGGCCTCTTCATACATATCATCATCTGACTCCGTATCCGATTCATCGGAACTTGTTAAATCTGATTCAGAATCATTATTCGATTCGGGTAAGAAATTACGTCCCGACCATTCATGTTCATCGATAATATGCTCTTCGGAGGGTTCACCACCATCTGATATGGCATCAGTATTTTCAAATTCAATACGTTCGGGTGTTTGGCCACGTTCCAGCAACTCCATTTTACTAACATTTTCCAGAGGTCCACGTTTTTCTGGGAGTTTTTGGCTCCTCGCCAGATTCACTGTTCAGTGCAGAATCAGCAGGTTCAGCAGTTAGACGATCTACGGCGGAAGCCGAAGCAACGGGAGTTGCGGTGTCATGCGGTTGACCAGTTGATTTCTAGAAGAAGATGAAAAAAAGGATTCAAAAATTAACAAATAAAAAAAGTTGGGTTAAGTATTCATCAATATGAGGCAGTATTCTTCCATCAAATTTCATAATAGGTCGCCGAACAAACGAAATTGGTATCTATGATATATGTCAAGAAAATAACGGTAACAAATTGGTTATGTGCATAAAATAAATTAATTATTGAGTTTGTTTTGGTTTTAGCCAATTTGAACCACTGTACTTTATTTTAGGGGTTGAAGTCAAAGGGAGAAATATTCTCCATCGAATTCCACTAAAAGTCACCGAGCAAATTAAATCGCTAGATTTTATAAATATCTAGGAAATGTGGTTTACAAATTTGTTATATACGGAAAATAAATAATTTTGTTTGATTTGGTTTTGTCCAATTTGAACTACTGTACTTTATTTTTGATGGTTGGAGTCAAGGGGAGAAATATTCTCCATTGAATTCCACTATAGGCCACCGAAAAAAGGAAATCGGTAGCTATGACACATATCAAGAAAATCGCTAAAATAAACTTGTTCTGTCCAGGATTTCTATCTAAGGGATTTATTGACTATAGATTTAGGTTTTCTGGTCATTCTGAACCACTGTGAATTTCTTTAGAGGTCAGAGGGAAAAATATTCTCCATCGAATTTCACTATATGTCACCAAATGAAAAAAATCTTTTGCCATTATATATACCAATTAAATACCATTATAAAGTTATACACACCCTTTGTCCTGGTTTCCTTACAACTGGCCGTGTTGGTTTAGCTGGCAATCTAAAATGCTGGGTACAATAGAAACGACCATTTGGATCGTCACGATCAAAGGCATAGGCACCCAAACGCAAATTTGTATGACAATGATGACACTTTAAACAGCCACGATGCATAATTAGGTTCTCCGTTTGTAACTTCTCCATGAGATAGACAGTTTGACGGCAGAAATGACATTTCTCCGAGGCAGCTTGTTTCTTAAAGGCCAAGGCCACTTTGGTGCTCTGGATGAGGATAAAAAATAATATAATTAGAATACTACGGAATCGGAAATTGCATAGATAGAGAACCTAAAATTTAAAACCTGTCAATATTTTCAAAACGAAATTTTATTTTGAGTGGGGAACTAAGAAGAGAATGTTTGTCGGTTGCAAGGGTGCACAATAATAGTATTCTCAAAAGCAAGGCATGAATATTGAAGTGGTGTGTTGTTGTGAGAGAGCGATGTAGGCAAATGAAGATGCTTCCCATTTTTTTTTAAATTATAAGATTTTTTAAATTAAAAAATAAAATAATTATAAATAAATTATAAAAAAATAAATAATTATAAATAAAAATAAAATAAAGCAAGAGTGTATGTGTGCAAATGCTAGGGTGGAATGGATTTTGTTTGTTTTCTATTGCCAAGGTCGGTCCTTAGGGGACAACGTCTAGTACTCACAGATTTCGATGCATTATTTGTGTTGGGAGGGGGATTCTTTTCTTCGCTGACATCACGTTTTACAAATTGCCCAGCAATTGAGGCAACTTTACCCGGTTCCAAAACATTACCCTCTTTCAGTTGTTTATCGAGCATTTTTAAATTCTGATCGATTTCTTTGAATTTCTCCTCGGCGGAGTCCTGTCGTGTGGGTTTGGCCATTTTATGTTGACGTGCCTGAAATTGTTCGCGGCTCCATTTCGGTACCTTCTCTCTACCCTTGGGTCCGTGCACTTCGGTTTTCTTCGATTGTTCGATTTTCTTTTCAATTTCCCGAACATTCCAATCGTTGCTATCGATTTTACCAATGGCCCGCATTAGATCTTTGGGTTTTTTGTCATTGCCGCGGAAAGAGGAGGTAATGCGTTGTTCCATGGATTTAATGCGATCACTGAATTGTTCATCGGCAGTGGAACGGGGCAGAGCTGAGGGTATATCACTACGTTCACGATCCTATATATTTATGTTTTTTTAGGAAGGGAACCGTACGTTGAGGTAATTTATCCAGGGTTCAGGGTAATAGTGTTGGTGTTGTTGTTTTTTAATGAATAGTTTATTTTAAGGCATTCCAAAATGTATAATGACGGTGGAGGTGGTCGTGTTGGAGTATACAGTAGTAATGGCAAATGTATTGGAGGATGGGGGAAAATATTTGGAAAAAGGAAATATATTTTTTTGTATTAGGAATTTTGTAAACAATTTTTTTGTTTGTTTTGAATTTAGATGTTATTTTGAATTACAAAAAAATTAAGTGTTGAGGTTATGTTGTAAAAGTAAAGTGTGTTGTTTTTTTTTAATCGGAAAACATATGTTAGGGGAAAAAAATAAAAGTAGTGGAAAATAAAGGATTAATAATTAAATGTAAACAAAATATATGTAAAATTAAACATTTAAAAAATTAACATAAAAACAATTTAAAATAACGTTATTTAAAAACAATAAAAACAGAAATTTTTTATATTGGTCAAAAAATACAACATTTTTTGAGGTTAAAAAGACAAAACGTCTTTTTCTCTTTTTAGCCTAAAAGCATCGTAGGAATATGTGTGTAAGAGGAGTTGTGGCTGTTTGCTTAGCAGATTTGGAATTGTATTGCAAATGTGTATTTTAAAATATTACAAATAAGTATGATATGAACCAATGGGCTAATTTTTTGAGGATTGATGTCAATGGGAAAAATATTCTTCAGCGAATTCTCAATAAGTCATCGAACAAACGAGTTCGGTAGCTATAATATATACTAAGGTAATATAGGCAAACAATTTGTTATATACAGACATTAAATAATTTATTGGGTTGATTTAGGTTTTCATTAATTAAAACCACTGTAATTAATTTTAGAGGATTGATCTCAATGGAGGAAATGTTCTCCATCGAATTTCACAATAAGTCACCGAATAAAAGAAATCGTTAGCCATGATATATATCAAAGGGAGATGGACAACAAATTTGACATTAAATTATTTATTGGGCTTGTTTGGGTTTTCATTAATTTGAACCACTGTATTATTTTTGGGGTTGAAAGTCAATGGGAAAATTTTATTTTATTTTATTATTATATTATTATTATTATTTTTAGAGTTTTATTAGGTTTTCGTCAATATGAACCACTGTACTTTATTTTAGGGGGTTACAGTCAATGGCGAAAATATTCTGCATCGAATTCTACTATAAGTCACCAAACAACCGAAATCTGTAGTTATGATATATATCACAGAAGGATTGGTAACAAATTTATTATATGCAGACATTACATTATTTATTGACTTTGCTTAAGTTTTTGCCATTATGAACCTCTGTATTTGGTTTTAGAGGGTTGGTTTCAACTGAAGAAATGTTCTCCATCGAATTCTACTATAAGTCGCCGAACAAAAGAAATCGGTAATTATAATATATATGATGGAAATATATGTAATTTTTTTTATATACAGAAAATACATTTTTATAAAGTTCAGTTATAAAGTCAATATGAACCACTGTACTTGATTTTAGAGGGTTACTGTCAATGGTTGAAATATTCTGCATCGAATTTTACTATAAGTCACCAAAGGAAAGAAATTTGTAGCTGCGATATATATCAAGAAAATGGAGATAGCAAATTGCTTATATGCAAACAATAAACAATTTATTGAGTCTGTTTAGGTTAAGGTCAGTATGAACCCCTGTACTTGATTTTAAGGGTTGCTGTCAATGGTGGAAACCTTCTCCATCGAATTTTACTATAAGTCACGTAACAAATCAAAATCGTAAATATGATATTTATCAAGAGAAATATCCATAACAAATTGAGTATATATAGAAAATATGAATTGAATATTTCTGATCTCATTGATGTGCAAAATTTGAAATTGTTTATCAATTTGGGAATAAAGAAATTTCTCTTTTTGGCAAATGTGTGTACATTTTTGTATACAATTTTTTGTTAGTCAAAATAAATTTTGTTAGAAAGTAATAAAGCATTTTGTTTATTTGGTTAAAATACATTTAAACGTGGGTTAGGCATTTGGTTTGTGTTCAGGAAGATAACACAGCAATTTGTTTTTTGTTGCCATCAATAGCAGATATTAATCATCTCGAGAGAGAGAAAGAATGAGATTGAGTGTAAGAGAAGCCAAACAACAGCAGCAGAGTATCATTTGTTTTTCACACAATAACGACAACAACAATAAAAAACGTCAAAAAGTGTAATTTATTAGTTTCGATCGCATGCTTCATCATCATCACAACTCGCTTACGGGATACAACAGCTTTCGTTCCAATTCTTTAACGCGATCATTAAATTCTGGGGCCTGTTGGCGATACATAAATATCGAATAATCCTCGAAGGGGGTGTTCTCATCGGCTTCACGCAACAATATGTTGGCTTGCAACATATGCAGTGATTTGTAAAAGTTTTGCGTCTGTTGATAACGCTGCTGGCGACGTTTGCTCATACGATCTTGACGATTTTGTTCAATTTCCTGTAAACGTTTTTGACGTTCCTCCTATGGGTTGATTGGTTGTTCGTTTATGTGTGTGTGTGTGATGAGAGGAGTTTGAAGTTTGGTTTTAGAGATATTAAAAATTAGAATATCTATACTAAACACTTTTAATTTGTTTAAGTCTAGCATAACTAGCCACTATTTAATTTCCAAAACGAATATGTTAACATGTAAGGAAGATGAGTTGAGAAGAATGGTTTATTTTTTGTGGAAGTGAGGTTAAGGTGAGACGACAAAATACACATGACACATGGGGTGGGATGTAGACAAAACTATGCTGAGTACTCATTCACTTGGACAAGAAGTAGAAGAAAAAACATTTCAATATACCTTTTGATGTAAACAACAACTGGTTGATGAATTAGAAGAGGTAGTAGTGGTTGTGGTGGTGGTTATGATGTCATGACCCAAAACATGTGTATTTTCATGATAATGATTTATTATGAAATGAACCTTTATAAGATTTATATAATATGTGATAATAAAATTTTATGACAAAGAAGTAATATTTTTTTGTTTTGATATGAAGTGAAAATATTTTTTTTTTACAAAAAATAATGATAAAAAAATTCTTTGGAAATTTTGAAAAGTGATCTTTGAGATCAGGACGATAGATATATACAAAATAAATATGTTCAACATATTTTTGAAGTTTTCTTTTTTGGCGATCACTTTTCAATTTCTGTGGCATTTTAAATGGGCCAATACATTAATGATGAATCCCGAAAAGCAACTTACAATATTGGCAGCCTTTTCGGCACTGCGACGTTTTTTGGCACGGCGAGGAGTATCGGTTTGTGCTGAAAGAAACATAAAAAATATTAAAAATAATTTCGCAAAAAATAAATTCTCCACCATACCTGTATTTCCTGCACCTCCAGCAGTATTAGCATTATTACCCGATGCCAATAATTGTTCGTGTCTACGTTGACGTTTCAGCTTCTCTTCATCCAATATCGAACGTCTTTGTACAGTAGTTGATCCCGCCGCTCCTCCTGGCACATCAACAGCATCCTGTATCGGCGATTTGGCTTTTTGTTTATTACTGGACATTTGCAATAATTTGGAAAAGTCCGGTTGTACATTTGTATAATTGATACGATATTTTTCACGTAAATCACTAAAATCAATTTTCGGATGTTTAACATGTGGTATTTCGCCACGAAATACTTCACAGATTTGTTCTAAATAGCTAAGCCAGACTTTCGATTCGACATTTGTCAGCTGTATGGAATCTTTGCCCGTCATTATACGAGGTATATGCAACTCTTTGTCGAGTATTTTAAAGGCGAGATCATTCATTTCAATGGGGCTTAAATCTTTGATTGCATTGAAGTCGACTAGATCGGGACGATAACTGGAAAAAGATAACAAAAAAAAAAATAATAATAGTAAAATAGATTAATTTTTGGGAATATGAACCACTGTGCTGCATTTTAGAGGGTTGATGTCAATGAAAGAAATGTTCTCTATCGAATTCCGAATATGAACCACTGTGCTGCATTTTAGAGGGTTGATGTCAATGAAAGAAATATTCTCTATCGAATTCCGACATTGGTCACCGAACAAAGGAAATCGATAGCTATGATATATACCGAGGAAAATATAGGAAACAAATTGATTAAATACAGAAATGATATAACATATTGAGTTTTTTTAGCTTTTCGTCAATATGTACCACTGTACTTAAATGTAGGGGGTTGGTTCCAATGGAGAACATGTTCTTCAACGAATTCCATCTGAAGTCGCCGAACAAAAGAAATCGATAGCTATGATACATAACGTAAAATCAGCATTACCAAATGTGGCGTGGATTTTGAAAGAATATTTTTAGGAGGCCTACTAGAGGTGGAGATTTTTTAAGGAATATTTTTAGGACTTTCAGAGGAGTGGATTTTGAAAGAATATTTTTAGGAGGCCTTTTAAGAGAAGTGGATTTTGAAAGAATATTTTTGGGAGGCCTGCTAGAGGTGGAGATTTTTGAAAGAATTTTTTAGGAGGCCTTTCAGAGGAGTGGATTTTGAAAGAATATTTTTGGGAGGCCAATAGAGGTGGAGATTTTTTAAGGAATTATTTTAGGAGGTCTATTAGAGGTATGGATTCTTTAAACGAATATTTTTAGGGGGTCTATTTAAGGCGTGGATTTTTTTAAAGGTAAATGTTTTTTAAATATTTTTCATACAGACAATAAACAATTTATTACCTTTTTGTCTTTATGGACCACTGTATTCTCCGTCGAATTATTTTAAAAGTCGCCGAACAAAAGAAATCGATACCCATGATACATATCGAGAAAATATCATTGCCAAATTTGTTATATACAGACAATAAACTATTTATAAAGTTTTTAGCTTTTTGTCATTATGAACCACTGTATATCTTTTTAGAAGTTTGGAGTCAATGGAGGAAATATTCTCCATCGAATTTCATAAGAGGTCACCGAACAAACGAAATCAGTACCTATGATATTTACTGAGGAAATTCGTTTGCCTAATTTATAATACAAAGAAATTACAATAAATTTGTTATTGAATGTGTTTAGATTTTCGTCCTTATGAACCACTGTAGGTTATGTTAGAGGGTTGGTGGTGTGGAAGAAATGTTCACCATCGAATTCCGATATAAGTCACCGAACAAAATAAATCGGTAGCTATGATACTTATTTAGGAAATGTGGGCAACAAATTGGTTATTTACACAACATAGGTGGTTTATTGAGTTTGTTTAGATTTTCGCCTGTATGAACCACTGTGCTTTTTTTTAGGGGGCAAGTGTTAATGGAAAAATATTCTCCATCGAATTTGACTATAAGTCATCGAGCAAACGAAATCGATAGCTATGATATATACCTCGGTAATAATAACTATAAATTTTCCTAAATAAAAAAAATTACTTTAAAATATCCCCTTTAAACTTACCGATTGATTAGAGCACACAAAACTTTACCATTGGTAAAGACATCGGAAACCTCCTTTAGATCCTTGGTAAATTCATAGGCATGTAATTGGGCACTGATCCAGCGCAGCAAAACGGTGCTTAGTGGCATGGAATCTAAGAAAAAGGAGAAAAAGAGACAAATTATAAAAAATAACCAACAAAATAACAGCAAATGAAAATAGACCTACCGCCACTGCGACGTTTCCTGCGCACCGGTGTATCAACCTGAGTAACTTGTAAGGCATTCGTGTCCATAAAGGTTTGATCCAATATCGTCTTGTCATCGGTATCTATTAAATGTTTAACTTGCCAAACATTTACCGAACTACGATTTAGATTGGGATAACGTGTGGCTGGATCCACGGTATAACTGCCCGTGTCACGTTGTAAATTTTCAGGGGTGGTTTGACCAAGGAGCCTAAAAAGAAGAAGATTTTTTCATTATTTTATATATTTTTTTAAAAGGGGTTTTAGTTACTCACCTATAAATACTTTCCCTTTGGGCCAATACACCCAAAGTACTATTAGCCGGATTGGACCATAGCTTAATGGCATAGGCTGCATCCATGCTGGAGAGAAAACCACGTGCACACCCCGACCCCGTGGGCCAGAACGGCTCCAGCAAACTATCACCCACCAGACATTGCAGTAGGCGGAAACCATGACGCACTATAACACGACACGATGATTCGGCAGCAAACATTGAGGTAAAATCAAACATGGCAACATCCGGTTTGCCATAATGATTGACGGCAAATTCTAAATTTGGCATTTGATATTTGGTTGAAAATTCTGCTGCCTCACGGGCATAGTCGAGCAGTTTTTCAGTATTTACATTGACGGGTGCTAAGAGTTCAGCTGGATCGGCAAAGTCCTGAAGGAAGTGAGAGAAAAAAAAATAAATTAGAAATTTCACAGCATATTTTTAGGAGCTCTATTAGAGATGGAGATTTTTAATAATATTTTTAGGAGACCTATCAGAGGCGTGGATGTTTTAAAGAATATTTTTAGGACGTCTATTTAAGGCGTGGATTTTTTCAAAAGAATATTTTTAGGAGGTCTATCAGAGGCGTGGGTTTTTAAAGAATATTTTTAGGAGGTCTATCAGAGGCGTGGGTTTTTAAACAATATTTTTAGGAGGTCTATAAGAGGCGTGGGTTTTTAAAGAACATTTTTGGAAGACCTCTGAAAGGCGTAGGTTTTTAAAGAATATTTTTAGGAGGTCTATCAGGGACGTGGGTTTTAAAAGAACATTTTTGGAAGACCTCTGAAAGGCGTAGGTTTTTAAAGAATATTTTTAGGAGGCTTCGAAAAGGCGTGGGGTTTTAAAGAATATTTTTAGGAGGCCTCTAAAAGGCGTGGGATTTTAAAGAATATTTTTAGGAGGCCTATAAAAGACGTGGGGTTTTAAAGAATAGTTTAGGAGGTCTATTAGAGGAATGAATTTTTGAAAAAATACTTTTAGGACGTCTATTAGAGGAATGGATTTTTGAAGGAATATTTTAGGAGGTATATTAGAGGAGTGGATATTTTAAAACAAAATTTTTAGAGGTCCTCTTAGAGGCAGGCATTTCCTAACCACACTTTTAAGTGATCTCTTTGAGAAATGGATTTTCAAGACGCATTTTTAGAAGACCTCTTAGGGTCATGCATTTGTAAACAATATTTTTAGGAGCTCCCTTAAGAGTAAGAATTTTTCAATCATACTTTTAGGAGGTATGTTAGCGACTGAGCATTAAAAGCATACTTTTAGGAGTTATCATAGAGCCATGGATTTTTAAGGCATACTTTTAAGAGGTCTACATGAAATTTTAACTCATATTTTTATTTGTATATTGGATTCTTAAAGCATACTTTTAGGATACCTATTAGAGCCGTGTATTAAAATATTAGATATTATTCGAACTTGTAATACTCACTTGTATAATAACACCCTTATCGATCAGACTATGCTTTTTGGCAGTCATAACAAAATAGTGCGTCTCATCCTTGTAATAGACAATGTTCTCCAAATCGATACCCGTCGTATGGTACAACTCCTTGAAGAATGACTGATTGAAGATAAACGCCACACCGCTAATTTCTTCCGCTTTGGCTTCAGCTTCTGTTTTTTTATTGATGAAATTCGCCGTAATGGCTATGGCCAATTTGCCGCGAAACTCTTTGCGTTTAAAACCCTCCAGGGTGTTACGTTTACCATCCGCCCCAATGAGAACATCAAATTCATAGTGGGAGACGGCATGATCGGAGGGTGTTACTTGGGCTCTCCAGCCACAACCATCACCACTGGGTTCAATGGTACGTTCAAAGGAGACCCCTTCATGGACCTCTACACCCAAAAGCAACGCGACCTTGAGGAGTATACATTGCAGTTGTCGAATCGAAATGTGATCTATGGAACCGGCACAAAATTTACCATAGAATTTTTTTGCACCCAAATTCCTCAGATCGGTGATGACAAATGGCCATAGATGGAGTACATTATTGCGGGATATGCGATCACGTTTTTCCACCACAACAACTTTGGCACCCAACAGCTGAGCCTCAATGGCTGTTCGCAGACCACATGGACCGGCACCAATTACCAGTACTCTTGTACCGGTGCAGGCATTACCCTTGGCATAGGCCCGATGTGCAGCTCGAGCATCAAATTTCTTCCACAACGCCTGGGCTTTCCACGAACGAACTTTTGCCTTTAGCTTTGGGTAGAATTCATTTAGCGGGGCAGGACGTAAACCGATGACATCACACATCTGACGATGTAGGCCGAGTATTTGACGCATCGTTGTGGCCACACAAAAGAGGTCAAACATTTCGGCCGCAGCAGCGGCTGCCTCATTGTCAGCAGCCATTTGTTGGGCCAACAACTGTTGCTGCTGTTGCAGCTTTTGTTGTTGCCGTTGATGAGCTGACCGACTCATGCTGGAAAGAGAAGAGGGAGAGGAAAATTTCTGATTAGTACAATAGCAACAAAAAATAATAAATAAAAATGTATTTCAAATATATTAACCATGTTACGGTGCAATTATAAACCAATGGTGGGGGAATAACTTCGGCCCTCAGGTCCAAATAATTTCCAAAAATATCCATTAGGTCGTGAAGGTTGAGTTGTGTAGTCTGGGTAATAATTTATAAAACTTTGTGGTATTTTCGCTCTCATGTAAGATTTTTGAGATTTAAAATAAAAAATTAAATTCGCCGAATTTCGAAATTTTTTTTTTAAATGGGAATTTCCGTTCCGGATTGTGCAGAACTTCAGTTGGAAGACCCAATTTATCGGGTTTATAACATAATCCAAAAATTATTTAAAATATTCTCTGTCCTTGAAGATACTTCCTAAAATGGATAGCTCTTGGCTGTGTGAAACTCCGCAGCAGATTTGCTGCCTTCAGATCCGATTATCTGAATTTAAAACAATGACTAAATAATATTCCAAGTATTCTCAATCCGGGAGAATATTTTGTGGAAATTAGTGTGGAGACAGTCCTTGGTTTGGTGAAACTCCGGCCTTCTCAAACCTTGAGGATTGAGAGGTTACCTCCTGGCAGAAGAAAGCTCCCGATTTTTCTGTGAAAATTAAGGATCTATGGTGGTATTCGACTCCGTAGAAAAATATTTTATAGACTTCTTAATTTTTTTCAGGATAATTTTTACTCTGTGCTCTTTATCGTTATGGGAATTATATTTGAATGCAAATTCCGCAGGCTAGCCTCAGCTATTTAATAATAAAAAATTTCGGGTTTTCTTTTATTTGAAATGCAATTTCAATTTCAGTTAATATTTTTCTTTATTACATAAAAGGCAGCGAGAGAGAGGGTTCATTGAACCCATAAATCATCGCCGAGCGGCGTTGTATAACAAGAAGAAATTCGGAAAAAGAAAAAGACTTCGACATACACAATGGGTGACAGCAGGCGGATTGTTCGTCACGACACGATACGATAATGATGATGTATTAATTATAAATTTCAGATGGATCTGCTGATAATAATGTCATAGAATATTTATGACTTTTCGTTTTCGGTTGTTTTTGTTGTAAGAAATGTCATTGTGTGTGTGAGATTATTAATTAAAAGGAAATGACGACACGAAAATGTTCGAAGATGATTATCAGAACCTTTTCCAAAAATTGTATCTCAAAATCATGAAAGGTTTTTTAAAAAATATTTTTAGGTGGTCTTTAGGAGGCCCAGGACAGGCGTGGATTTTTTAAAGAATATTTTTAGGAGGTCGTCTCATAGAGGCGTGGATTTTTTAAAGAATATTTTTAGGAGGTCGTCTCATAGAGGTGTGGATTTTTTAAAGAATATTTTTAGGAGGTCGTCTCATAGAGGCGTGGATTTTTTAAAGCATATTTTTAGCAGGTCGTCTCTAAGAGGCGTGGATTTTTTAAAGAATATTTTTAGGAGGTCGTCTCATAGAGGCGTGGATTTTTTAAAGAATATTTTTAGGAGGTCATCTCATAGAGCCGTGAATTTTTTAAAGAATATTTTTAGGAGGTCATTTCATAGAGGCGTGGATTTTTTTAAGGCATATTTTTAGGAGGTCATTTCATAGAGTCGTGGATTTTTTTAAGGCATATTTTTAGGAGGTCATTTCATAGAGTCGTGGATTTTTTAAGGCATATTTTTAGGAGGTCGTCTCTAAGAGGCGTGGATATTTTAAAGAATATTTTTAGGAGGTCGTCTCTAAGAGGTGAGGATTTTTTAAGGCATAGTATTAGCAGGTCGTCTCTAAGAGGCGTGGATTTTTTATGGCATATTTTTAGGAGGTCGTCTCTAAGAGGCGTGGATTTTTTAAGGCATATTTAGGAGGTCGTCTCTAAGAGGTGTGAATTTTTTAAGGCATATTTTTAGGAGGTCGTCTCTAAGAGGCGTGGATTTTTTAAGGCATATTTTTAGGAGGTCGTCTTTAAGAGGCGTGGATTTTTAAGGAATATTTTTAGGAGGTCGTCTTTAAGAGGCGTGGATTTTTAAGGAATATTTTTAGGAGGTCGTCTTTAAGAGGCGTGGTTTTTTAAAGCATATTTTTAGCAGGTCCTCTCTAAGAGGCGTGGATTTTTTAAAGAATATTTTTAGGAAGTCGTCTCATAGAGGCGTGTATTTTTTAAAGAATATTTTTAGGAGGTCGTCTCATAGAGGCGTGGATTTTTTAAACAATATTTTTAGGAGGTCGTCTCATAGAGGCGTGGATTTTTTAAACAATATTTTTAGGAGGTCGTCTCATAGAGGCGTGGATTTTTTAAACAATATTTTTAGGAGGTCGTCTCATAGAGGCGTGGATTTTTAAAGGCATATTTTTAGGAGGTCGTCTCATAGAGGCGTGGATTTTTAAAGCATATTTTTAGGATGATGTCTCTAAGAGGCGTGGATTTTTTAAAGCATATCTTTTAGGAGGTCGTTTCATAGATTTTTTAAAGCATATTTTTAGGAGGTGGTCTTATAGATTTCTTAAAGAATATTTTTAGGAGTTCTCATATATTTTTTAAAGAATATTTTTAGGAGGTCGTCTCATAGATTTTTTAAAGAATATTTTTAGGAGGTCGTCTCATAGATTTTTTAAAGAATATTTTTAGGAGTCCTATTTAAGGCGCGGATTTTCTAAAGAATTTTTTTTTAGAAACGGGCATTTATATGGGGAATACCTTCCAAAAATTCGGAATACCAAATTTCAGTCACTTCTGTGGGAAGATGAGGTTAAAACCTTGAACAAAATATAGAAAATGGGACAGGATCTTTATGTAGAGGTAATATCAAAACGTGGACTTATATCGAGTATTTTCTGCATTACTTTTTTTCACCCTTCAAGACCTCGGAACACAAATTACAACTACATCAGAGGGGGAGTGCGACTAAAACCCTAAAAACCGAAAATGGGAGGGGATATAAATATATTTCAGCATAGATGTTTATTACCCTGCCAAATAAAAGCCTTTTCTGTTGAGAAAGGCGGTTAAAATCTTTCAAATTCCGAAAATGGGGGCAGGACTTTTATTTAGTGGCAGTAGACAAAATATTAATCTATATTGAAGATTATCTGCAGAGATATTTAACAACCTCCTAAAACCCCGGAATGTCTAATTACAGTTACTTCGGTTGAAAGAAAAGTGTGGCTAAAACTTTAAAAATACCGAATGGTGCAGCGGGACTATGTCAAAACAAGCACCTATATTGATCGAGTTGTATAAAATTGAATGACAAATTTAATATATATTTTGAGCCTTATGTAGGGGACCCACTGGTTCGATTTGACATTTCTTTCTGTTGCAAAAATGCAATAATTGTTAGAAAAAATATTTCGGATTTTTTTCGGCCTACATAAGGCGTGGATTTTTTAAATAATTTTTTCCGAGGCCTGGATTTTTTAAATATTTTTTCCTCTTGTATTCCTCCTATGGGGATAAAAAAAGTTATACATCCGTCTTACAGGGCTTAGCATTTCCCATGGGTACTACCCTATTGTGGAATAAACCAATCAGTTGCTGACCTGACAATTCTATTTCTTCCAGCAACAATTTCCCCCTCCATAATTATTTTTAAATATTACAGTTAATTTATCGTTTAATATTGACTCAGAAAACATAGAAAATCCGATTAACATTCCCTCGGGAGCAAATTGTTCCACCACCGACACCACCATTTAATAGAAGACATTTGACCCGGTATTTATATTCCAGTAATCGAGTTAATATTTTAAGAAAAAAACATTTCCATAAAAAAAAAAACATCTGTATCGCACCACCCTCCAGTCATCAGCACCAGATGTGATGAAGACATTCTCATTGCAAGTCATCGTTCCGAACATTCACTATTACTGCATTCCCATGAACTTGGCGAATGAGGCGAGGTTGGCTGGCTGGCCACTCACTAACTACCTACCTATTGTGGACAGTCGGTGTCGATGACAATGACCATTGTCCCGAGCGAACGAACCAGCGAGCAAATAGCTCTTTGTGGAGCTATTATTCCGCTTAATTTTTTTCTGTTCGATTGTCTGTCCGTCGGTTTTGTGTCTGTTTTGTGATGAATGCGTTTAATGACTGATTCTAAGGTACAAATGTGCGGTTGTTGTTGTTGCTTTTAATTTTATTATTGGCATTGACAAAGCCCTCAGTGTGGTGATGGAGCACAATGCCTGGCTTTTTTATTGCCGCGGTCATTGTTGTTGGTTCTGCGGCTGCAATTATTATTATATAGTTCGAATGTGTGTACAATTATTGTTATTATTTTCCATTATTCTCATTATTATTATTGTTGTTGTTGCTGCAACTATCTTTATATGCAGACAATGAGGTGTCATTCTGAATGATCGGATGAATGACACTTCATCTTTTGGGGAGGGTGGCAGTATAACAACCCAAGATGTTGTGTGTCATCTGGAATCTCGTCTGTCATCACAGATTTTGTGAGAATGAACAACAACAGAAATACGAAATTCCAGATGGTATATTCATCCGCTGCACCTGACACATGTTGTGCGGTCATTAGGAAGGAAAAATGATTAACATCAATGAAAAGTAAAAAAATGTCAAAACATGAACCTATATGGATCAATTCCTGCAAATATATACCTGAGACTTTAAAACATCGGAATTTCAATTACAGTTTCTTCGATGAGAAAATCCGCATGAAATCTTTAAAATATCTATAATGGAAAGGGACCTTGATAAGGGGACATTTTCGGTATTTTTAAGGACTTAACCGAATTTTCAAATCGAAGGAGGTGTAAAGTGGCATTACGAGCTTTCAGGGGTTGATTAACATCACTGCAGAAAATGATCAATATAGGTCCATGTTTTGGTTTAGCCTCCACATAAAGGTCACGTCCTATGTTCGGTATTTATAGGATTTTATTAGCATTTTCCATTGGAGGTGGACGTAATTTGGGATAGATCCATCATTTGACATTGCCTTCATATAAAGGCCCCGCCTCATGTTTGATACAATGAAGATTTGTTTTTAGCTGTAGTTTTTCGCCGAATTGGCTTTAATTTAGCAGTTTGGGGTCTTGGAGGGCAAAACCTCTGTAAGAGACTCCCCATGTAAAGATCCGGCCC